CAAAACCAGGCAAAGCCTCATTGCAAACAGTTAGACACAAAATGTTCAAGTACTCAATCCTTTCTAGGAATGTAAGCAACATTTTTCATACAAAAAAATCTAAATAATCTTAGCTAGATATTTAGACCTGAAGGAAAAAAAAAAAACGGTTGGATGAACAACCAAATGAATATATAGATTAATCTTTCAGACAGTGGAAAAGGAATACGAGTCGGGAATATATTCATATCTGAAAAATACTTTTCCTGGCCGTGTGGGAATCCTGCTGCACTAATACCGGGAGCAAAATAAATGGAAACCAACTCACACCTCCAGATTTAATAAGTAGACATGTCAGGTTTGATGGTAAACATTTGACTTCCCTTTTTAGCCTCTGCCATAAGCAAATTAAATTGTCATCCTGTTTCAAGAATTAAGCAAAAGGAAGGGTTTGATGGCTTTAAGCAGCTCTAACTACATCTGAACAGAGGAAATAATACTGCAGTGAGTTAATCCCTCACAGAGGAGATATCCATGAATATAAAGCTTTGCAGGGTGTTAAGAGTCTTAATGCCTTTCAAAGCAACTCATGTTTGAAATGATACTGAGACTTTATTAAAGGGTCTAGAAGATGTTGTTTAAAACTATATAAAAAAAAAAAAGGTTCAAGTCCAAGTGTTTTGGAAAAAAAGTTGTCAATCAAGCTCCCCGACTTATTCCATCCTCTTCACAAAGTAACTACCCATCTGCATAAGAGATTAAAAAACACTGTAAGGGTTTGAAGCAGATAAAGCTAAGATTTTATCGTGATCAAACACGGGGCTCATGTTTTAATCGGGTATGATCAAAGAGGTTTTCTGAACCACAAGAGAACGGGCCATCAAACAGGCAGAGCGCCTTTCAGAGCCATGGAGACATTAGCGACTATCAAAGTCAATCTTCATCACACAACCAAGTTTGTATAAAATTAAAGAGACACTCAGGGCTGACAGGTGTATCTGAAAACACTTTATTAGATGCTTTTTATTTCAACAGCCTGCATGTTTGGTAGTGAAAGGCCTCTTACAGTTAATGCAAACCACAAACATAAATAAACATGATAAAGCTGGAAAACCAATAAACACAAATGACCTCAGCTGACCGTGTTCATACAGACTGATTCTTCTGCTGCTTCGCCGTCTGTGTTCATGGTACAAAAAGCAGTAAAAACAGTGTTCTTAATAAAAAAAGCTGATAAAACAAGTTCTAATTAAACTTCCCAGATTTTTTTTTATGAGTAAATGCATACACTTAGGGGAGCAGGAGAATTTCCTCCTTTCTTGTTCTGTTCAAAGCTCAGCAAAAGAATACAGTTGCAACATTTTTAACACTTCTATTAACAATTGAAAATGAATTATTTTACTTCAAGACAGAAAAAACTGGAAAAATGTAACCAAAAGGTAATGGTTTCATTTAGAAAAATCTGGAGAATTTTTTTTTTAATAACCACATATCCCCTTTTAGATAAGAAATTGAAAGGATAAGAAGCAGGACTTGAGAAGTATGACACATTATTTGCATATAAAACAAAACTTCATTTTACAGGTTTTAATTTTAGTTATTTGTAAGCCTAAAGACACTTAAATGACAAATCAGAGCAACCAATTGCGAGGCCTAATTAAATTAAAAAGCTGTAGAGTCCAACTTGGGTTTTAACTGAACCTTTTTCTGATTTTATTGATGAATTGATTTTTGAAGATTATCAGTCGGAAATATTTGAAAAAAAACAACAGAAATATTTAACTGTCACATTAGGGTTGTTTAATACCCATCTATACTTAGATTTATTTTGTATACACAAGTGTAAACAAAATATTGCGTATACAGTGTATACCAGAGCGTCACTGCAGGCAGTTTGTAAAAAAATAAGTGACCATGTCCTAGTACCCAATAGTTTCTCAATAATTTGAAAAGGTTAAATAGCACCAACGTTGAAAAAGCTTAGCTTTAAAAAGCTCTTATTTCATTGCTTCTTTATTTTTTGTGTATTTAACTTGAAATCCTGTAAAGTTTTATGAAACACAGCTTCAACTCCAGCATCACTTTTCGCCCATGTAATTTGATAATGTTAAATATGCAGTTTAGAGGGAATTCTGCAGGAAGAGTTTTACCTCAAATATCAAATTAACCACTGCTACAAAAGGTATGGAAATGTTGCAATGAGTCAACTTCATATCATGCTACTCCATGCAGAGGCTCTGCCTGCACTGGTGAGGATTCACCCACCTCAGCATGCTAAACGCTTGAAACAACTGAAATAGCGAGGAAGTCTGATTTATTTTCTCTCTACACCAGCAAAAAAGAAATCTGTAAAGGACATAGCATCAGTCTAGAATCTAAACTTTTCTTTTTCTGGTACTTAACTCCACAGAAATGATAATTTCTTAATGTCTTTTTCTATTAGAAAAATATCTATAAGCTTTTAATATTAAGAGTTGAAATTAGATGTTTAAAGAAATTTGAGGATTGTATACTTTTTCCTTGCTTTGCCCCAAAGAAACCTAAAAACTTCAAACATAACAGTTTTTTAGTCATACATCAATCTGCCATTTGCAGAGGGATACGATTTGAGAAACTATAAATGAATAAACAACTCCCAGGATATATATTTCTTTTTAACCTAAAAGCAAAGTAAATAAAAACATAGATTGAGTTTAGGGGTAAAATATTTTCTCAATTTGACCTCCAGATGTTCGTATTAATGAGTCTCCAGCTTGTAGGAAAACAAGTTACCTTTAAATAATAATAAATAAAGTCTTAACACATTTTCTATTTTGCTTTTTTTGACAACTTCAGACAAAGCATGAGGAAAATAATCCCTTAAATAAACCAAAAGAACAATCAAATGGTTTTCTTAGGCAAGTGGTTACATGTAACTTGGCAAAAATGTTAAATTTGTTATCACATATATAGCAACATCTCCACTGTGTAAACAAACATGACTGAATTTCTTTATTCTCACTGTGGCTCAGTTCAAGTTTAAGCTCTAAGCTTTAAGAATCAGGTTTATATCAACCAAAAATACAAAAGGTGTACAGTATTGTTCTGGAAAAGCTCAACCATGTGGCACATTTCTAAAATATAGAAAATTCTACTTTACAAAATATGAGATTAAAGGTTGGATTACATGTAGATCTGTTCAGATGTTTTTATAAACTCAGGGGCATGAATGTCAGAACGTAGCAATTTGAACATACATAAAAAAAATACACGCTTTTATATAAAGTTTCTCTAATCCAAACCAGTTCAAATTAATTCATAAAATTTCTGGTTGGGGCAACATTGATACAGTTTATTTCCACTGGAACTGACCTGGTTTTTAACCAACTATGACATTAAGGCAAAACCCATAAATTAATCCTATAAATAGCCAGTTCAGATCTGCATCAGGATAATTTCACTTTTGCAACCTTCTAATCTAATGTTTAAAGCTTTCCTGACTAAAGTTAAAGCTACCTGACTTGAAAGACGTGTTTAAGATGTTCAAGAGCAAAGGTTGCTCGATATGAAGAAGGCATTTGAAAATGTTGCTGTTGCAAAATCTTTCAATTCAGGACTGTTGTCCCTTTGTGATTTATTTGTTTTAGCACTAAGAACATACAATAAGTTTTGGCTTGAAAACAGTATGCAGTGTATCCTTGCATCTATAAAAAAAAAAAAAAGCAAACATTGGCATTCAGGATTTGGAAGCAAGGTCAAAATAAAATCTCCTTCCAAACATTAAATCAGAGAAATGATTCCAGATGGCGACATTGCGTGCTGTAATACTGAAACATTGATTGGTATTTGTTACATTGTGTAGCTCCACCAGGAACCATAGAGGTTAAAGGCAATCTTTGCTACATTACAAAAATAAGAAACTGGAACACTGGTGTGGGCATTTACAGTCAAGCCAGATTGTCAAGCCGAGAAAGAAGCTTGAGTCCTAACATCCTTACCTACAAGCTTAGCTAAAATCCAGATGCCCAAATGGACAAAAAAAAGACCAACCAATTAGGCCCCACTTACATAAGACATGTTTGAAGAACACTGTTCCTACTGTCAGGCATGAGGGCGGCAGCATCATACTGTGGGGCTGCGTTGCTGTAATTGCTCTAAAACCATATTCTTAACCCTTAAATGCAAATGTAATGGATCCTGGTAATGGATCGCATGCCAGAAAATTACTTCAAAAACTCATCAAATCAGGTTTAAACATGGAGGAAGCTTCTGGAAAAGCTTCATCAAAGCCCAGAGATAAAAAAAGAGAATGTACCATCTTTAATATGACTCAACTTTCCTAATTTGCCTGAGAAAGGTTGTCAAACAACCAGAGAAAGATATTCTACAATCTGCTTGCAGTCAATTAGAAGGAACATTTAACCACATAAATGTTAATTGAAGGTAAACCTTAGTTTATAGTTATCAATTCTGAACCTGTTGTTTGAATTAGAGAAAGTTACACCAAAACAATAATACATTGGTGTTTTTGTTTAGTCATCCACCCTAAAGAAATGCTAAAAATGAGTGTATAAAAAAAAAAAAAAAAACTTCTGACTGGGACTATTTAATCTTAGGGAAATCAAAAGGTATAGGTCCACACCACACCGCATTAGTAAATTAATCAAAGTGCTTCAAAAAGTAGGAAAGGAGGGTAGAGGAAGAACAGAAATACCATGAATAAAAGCGACTCAGAGGGCGAGAGAGGACATATACAAAGGTTATAAAGATAAACAAAGAATTTCCACCATTCTGAGTAAATCAGAAGAAGCTTGTGGTTGACCCTTTTTAGATCCCATTAATCCTTTGTTAATGTAGGTTTATAAAAAGCATAATTTAAAGCCTGGAAAACATCTGAGGGGAAGAGAAAAAACAAGCTTAACAAAAACCAGATGGAGTTTTCTTCCGATCCAAACGTTTGGTTCCACCTCTCAGACAGGAGAGAGAGGAATCAGCCCACAGAGACGCTTCATATCGTTCCACCTTTAGAGGAGCGATCGGTCATCGCCCGCTCCGATGACCGACGTGGCTGAGTCAAAGGCGAGCAACGAGGGGCTTCTGAGTGGGCAGTTTTCCTCCTGTAGAAAACAAAGATAAGATTTGTTAAAGTCTTTGCAATCTGTGCAAGAAAGTTCTTGCTGAAAACTTCTTTCTCACCCAGAGTGTCTTCCAAAGAATTCACCATCACCTTGTTGACCTTTAGAGCTGCCGGCCCCCCTCTTCTGGAGCAAATAAACAATAAAGCGATTGGTTAGTGTCAATATAATCTAGAAATTAAAATTACAGACTCTTATTTTTAATTTACCGTATTTTCACGACTATAAGGCACATATAAACGTCTTTTTTTCCCTCAGAATGTGCGCCGCACCCTATAGTGCGGTGCGCCCTATGTGTGTTGTTACTGCGGACGTTTGAGACCACCATGAGAACGTTAAAGGGGGAAGTGTGGCTGAGGGAGGTGAATGTAAGGAGACCATGTAGTTTTTTCCATGCATCACCATTGCTGTTAATCTGTGACTCCATGCGTGCCCATCTCACAGCCGACGTGAAAAACATGGTGAAACAAATGAACGCTGTGCTTGCTGTTATTACGGGAGGTCTGACAAAGGAACTTCAACCGCTCGACATCGGTGTGAACCGGCCGTTCAAAGTAATGCTACGTTCATGCGTCTGCTGATTCATTTTTGCTGCTTGTACCAGTTAGTTCTGACGCGCGGCTGAAGCCGCTTTGCTGCTCTGGCTGCACATTGCAAAAGGTTGTCTGACGCGCGTTGTGCGGAGCTACTCTATCCTTTCTTTGCCTTGCAGCTATATTTGCTGTGATAAGTGGGAATAAAGTAGTTTTAATATGTTTTTAAGTGAGAAAATACACCTGAAAACTTACTCATTGCAGTCAGTTCATCCAGATTACGATCCTGCCTTCTAATATTAGTTCTCTCGGAGCCGCTCAGACCCCCACATACCGGCGGCAGCCTTTGGCCGAGTCGCCTCCTCGTGGTTCACCGCGGCAGCTGGTAGGTGTTTTTCATCTAAATAATCTAAACTGCAGCCACCAGGATAATAAAAGCCAACATATTCTGCCGGCAGATTTCTGCATTTTAAGTTAATTTATGCGTCAATAAACTGTTTGAGAGGAGTGATCACAGCTCTCTGTGTCATCAGCGATGTGTCTGTCTCACGGCCAGCTCCCAGGTTTGATTAATACTTTGTAATAAATACATGAATAAAGCACAATCATGCTCAGTTTTGCTCCCGCTCCATTTTTAAATACGCAGTAGAGGTATTTAAACGTAGTAGAGGACATGTACCTGTATATAAATCCCACGCCCTATAATCCGGTGCGCCTTATGTGTGTGTTAAATACAGTAATGGCACACATAACTGAGACTGCGCCTTTTAGTACGGTGCGCCTTATGGTCGTGAAAATACGGTAAGAGAAAAACAAACCAAATGTGTGCAAAGAAATTACATTCATAGCTGCATATAAAATCTCATATTTTCAATAGACTAAATATTAATATTCTTTCAAAGTATTTTGGAGGGAACATATGATAATCAACAAAGTGTGGCATGCATTTGTTACCAGGCTATTCACAGTAAGGACAAAGAGACAGAGGGACACATAGTTAGCTTATTGAATAATTAGGTCATTTTTCAACCAATTCTAATAGTTTAGTGCTATCAGATAAAATTGGTTTGAATACACATGCATGGCACACCTTTCAGATTACCTGTCTATAAAGTGATGTACATCAAAAGAAATTCAGCAATGAGGGAAAAAACTCATAATCATAACAGCATAACAACATAATCAACATAATCATAACAACATAATCAATCATTTCTAAATCCTAGATGTGCTTTCGGTTTTTTATTTTTGAATGAAGCAAATAATTTGCAGTTATTAAGTTTACTACTCTATCAATTCTTACCCTAATCACAACTAACAAGTAAACTTTCTAAGCAATGGGATGATTTTGGCGAATCAGGAAAAACCAGATGATTAACGTCCAACATACCCTCTGAGTTTCTGAACAGCTCCGAGTCTCAGCAAAGCAGCTAGAGCGTTCTTCTGGAGGTCCGATGATAAAACTTCTGCATATTTTAATCTCCCTAGATGACACAGACACGAAACCCCTCATATTCAATCAGAGCGCCAAATATATCTGGAATAAATTATATCAGAAAATAAAGAACAAAAACCTGTTAGAAGATGTTTGATGATGAACTTCCGAGCAGCGGGAATGAAAAGTTTGTCGGTCAGACATTCTGTAGCCTCGCAAAGAAACCTACAAACCATCTGGGAGACAGAAAAAAAAAACAAAAACAGAAACCACAACTATTAAAACCGTTTTCTCACATCAGCTCCAAATGCCACTGCATCTCCATCCAAGCATTACACAGCAGGACGCTGTCTGTGCAACAAGCACTTTAACTATTAGGAATACCCCAGAGTGGTGCATGAGCAAAGTGTGAAAAAAACGGACATGATGTGAAAAAGTTCTGGGGAGAAACGGCGGCCTTTTCTACCTCACTAACTGCTTCTCCCTTAATATCAAACTGCTTTTACTGAAAGACGTTACTTCAGTCTATGGAGGAGCGGAAAGCACCAGAGAGACTGAAAACAGAAAGGCATGTGGAGTCATGTGATAAAACCTGCAGAAATCTCTCTGTGTTGGATAATTACATCCAACATTCAGCTTTTATTTATGTCAAACGGAAAGGTGCTGTGATTTTTTTTTTTGACAAAAGACAAATGAGCTATAGGTCTATTTAAAATACAATAAAAATAAATAATTAAATAGACTGAGATTCACTACTTTATTGTCATATACACTTCAGTGCACGCAACCAGGGTCTATAACACAGACATCATGAGTTCTCAGGTGAATATATGCGCTATTATTTAACTTCACTATAACACGTAGATTTGGCCAGCTGGCATGAACTTTATGTCACACGTGACTCTATTAGCTCCAAAACCCTTTTATGCAATCCAAAGGGAAATAATTATAATAAATATACTATTTAAACGTTATTGAACATTTCTCCTATAGGGCTTGGGCGTCATGACGTAATTACTTTGTGTGGCCGCTATGGATGGGCGATATGTTATCGTGTGCAATATATCGTCAAAGAAATTCCTCATGATAACAATTTGTCATCTCGCGATAAAAACAATAAACTCCCGCCGGTGACGTATACTGTGCGTGACACACCGGCAGTCCAACTCACGTGCGAGCCATGCGCAAACAACAAGACGTGCCCCAAGACCTGGTTCCTAAAAGACGCTCCAGCTCCATTATCTGGAACTGGTTTGGATTTAAAAAGTCTGATAGGGAGCAGAAAGTCGTAATATGCAAAGTTTGCAGACAACCTGTGACGACAAAGGACAGCAACACTACCAATTTATTTCACCACCTAAAACACAAACCGGAATATGATGCTAGTCAGAAGATGCGCTGCGAGGCAGCAGAAGCCTCGACTTCGAAAACTTCTGTTAAGAAACCGACTTCCACTCAAACAAAACTTGCCGACGCGTTTGCTCATTCCACACCATATGACAGCCAAAGCAAGCCATGGAAAGAGATAAACAGAGGCCGTTTTTGCCTGGCTAAAGATATGTTTTCATTTATTTTTTTATTTTATTCATTTTCACAGATCAAAATAAAAACTCAGAATACACCAATAGAATAAAATAAAAAAATAAAAAATGTGATGGAGTGTGACAGAAACCCTTTAGGGCTTATACCAAGGCCACACCCGTAAACCAACAAAATATCAGGCAGCTCACATTATGAAAGTCCTTTCAGAGAAAACAAAATAGACATATACAGTAACATTTTAGCATTCAGATTTCAGGGGGTCAAATTTTTGTAAAATCATACATCATTGTCTTTTTTGGATAACAGTATTTTTATCAAAGACTTTCTACCATTTATTTCTGAAGATTCCAAATATTTTCCATATTCATTCCATAATTTTGCACCACGATGCCGAAAAGAAAATTGCACTTGAGTTTTAATACTTAACGGTAAATGAAAAGACAAAGCTTGTCTAGTATTATAAGAATGCACTTGGCAGTTCTTAACAAAATATTTCTTGAAAGTATCAGGAGACTGACCTTGTTTTATCATAAAAATAAAGGTACATGTTTGATAAATATTAATTTCAAAAATATTCAACAGCTGTAATTTGGAAAAAAGAGGAGCACTAGCTGCATCAACTTTAGAGAATGTTGCTAAGCGAACAAAAGCCTTTTGCAAAAGTAGTATTTTTTTAAGATAACTAGGAAATGTACTTGCCCAAACAATATTACAGTATGACAGGTATGGATAGATTAATGAATAATATAGAGTTAACATCACTTTATTGTGAACAAAATTTCTAATCCTTCTCAAAATACCTAAAGATTTAGTGACTTTTTTGCAGACTGTACCAATTTGTTCTCTCCAAAGGAGTTTGTCGTCAAGTTGGACACCCAAAAAACGAACAGTAGAAACTTTATCCATTTGTTGGTTTTGAATACAAATTCTTATATCATCAAATGTATAATTTTTGTGCCCAGCAAAAACCATGAAATTACATTTTTTCACATTCAAAGATAACTTATTGGCTTGGAACCAGGTTGAAAATTGGGCTAGATCTCTGTTCAATTTCTCTGTAATAATAGTCAAGTCTTTATGATAGATTAGAAAATTGTATCATCTGCAAACAGAATAGGTATTGTAGAACTTGTGACATTAGCAAGATCATTAATGTAAACTAAAAACAATAAAGGTCCTACTAGGATGGAACCCTGCAGTACTTCAAATTGTATTGAGTTTTGCTTTGAATCAAGACCATTCATTGATACATACTGATATCTATATGTTGTCGCTTCAATCTGTGGAGAAGGAGGGTTGCACAGAGAGGTATTTCAGTTTTTATACTCTTTTTAAATTTATTGAAATTATTTTTATTTCATTGTTTAGCATGCTGACAATCCTGCTAGTCTAATTTGGACATTCTTGCACAAAGAAGTATTTCAGGTTTTAGATGTTTGTTGGAATTTATTGAAATTATTTATTTCTATTTTAGTATTTACATTTTTCTGTTTTTTCCCCTTTATTTATCATGCCATTTTCACATTTTTGTAGCCCAACAGCAAAAAAAGTTGTTACAGGTTGATATAACATTTGAATTTTATTTTTAGTGAAGTGAGTGTAATGTATGTTAGAACTTGCACTGGTATTTATTTATCCAACATATGGCATGTTCCAGCAACTGGTAATTTACACATCTATTTATATTAAGAGGTGATTACTGATTAGTTTTAATTTTCAGTGAAATACTTTTAAGTTCTGTTTCTCAATTTATCAGGTTGTATTTACAGTTGCACTATATTGCAACTTTTATAAGCCAAGTTATATTTGCTGTGTAGCATTTAAATAAATGTGAAATTTGTTCTCATATTTCAGGCTTGTTTGATTGGTTTGATACATTAGGCTGATATTGTGTTTTTGTTTTGTTTTTTATCGTCACTTATCATTATCGTGGTAAAACCTAGAAATTATCGTGAGTTTTAGTCCATATCGCCCATCCCTAGTGGCCGCCATGTTGATGGCCTCCTTTACCGCTGCTCAGACTACTGCCTATTACTACCGCGTACTGTTCTCCCTCTCAGCCGTGTTTTAATTTGATTAATTTCACCTTAACTTGATTTCAACCATGGTAAACCGTTGCTGTATTGTGGGCTGTAACAGCGCAACACATGATCGCCATGGGAAGAACAGAGAAAACGGGTTAACTTTCCACCACTTTCCTGCCTGGAGGCGCAACCACGATGACCAAGTGTCAGAGATAAATAGTCGTTGGCTAGCTTGGATAGCGGCTGTAAGACGGCCGAACATAATTTTCCACAGTATCCCGATGTCAATGAGAGTGTGTTCCCTGCATTTTAATTCTGGTAAGTTAAAGATGCACGGTTTTATTTTATAGCCTACATTGTTTTTTTCCTTCAAGGTTGGGATCTTTTACGGGAAAATAATAAAAACGGCAGCGGGAAAAGGCTCAAATACGTGAGAAACCCGGAGGGTTGGCAGTAAACGTTACTAACTACACCTTTGAAACACATAGCAGCTAGTTAAAAGTACATTACATGCGTGAGTGGTTGTTAGCACTAGCGGTTAGCAGTTACTAAACTAGCAGGTTCCAGAGCCCGTCTGAGCACAGCTTACCTTCGTACGGATTACTGTGTTCCCACTGTTTGCTGGCTTTATGATCTGCAGCTCCTGAACCCATCCATTCATGAACTGCATATGACTCCAAGGACTTGTAGCTTCGGAACTGTTTTGAAGTATAGGCGCTCACTCATCGGTGCTCCACTCATTGTTTGGAACTTCATATGGATCCAAATTATTAATAATGTTGATTTTGTCAACATACCGGTCCCTGGCTTCTCTATTTAATGTTTCCCGGTAAATTCCAGATCCTTTTCGGGATTTTAACATATTTTTTCTCTCTACTTCTACGTCTCTTCGTTCAACAACAACGTTGTATCAGAGCTATGTTTACGTTAGCGTAGCCATCAATATGGCCGCCACGTCCCACAATGCAACACGGATCCCAAGCCCTATTCCATTACACAAAGACCACAAGATCAAAATAACACTCTTAAAATACTATGGATACATTAAACTGCACAGGGGCACCATGCTCTTACTTAGAGCATCAGGCAGGGTGCCCTGCCTGGTTACAGGTGTCCAAATGTTGAGGTACAATCTGTGGTCGTGGAGATAAAGTCTCTCATGAGCGGAAGGATCCAAAATGTGTTTCTTTGCCATATTTCCTCCTTGTTTCTGTCATTAGACTATGTAAATGTACTAGTCTGCTGCTGTGAACAGAATAGCTCTTTATTTGGTGACCACTAGCTTGCTTGACGTTGCCATGACAATGAGTTTCTGGGAACTTGTCTTGATTAGGCCTCAAAATAATGAAAATAAAATCCAAATACATCCAATAGTAAAATAAGAAAAGCCAAAATCATCTCCAAAAATATTCATAAGAAATGTATAAATTGTGCAAAGTATTTTTTTAAACAATTACATTAAATCTCCCTCTCGCCACTAGGAGGTGCTGCAGCACCCTCACTTCCCACAGCCATGGTGCAAGACATTAATTTCAACAGAAAAGTGTATTCAAGCCAAATCTGCATGCATCAGTCACCTGATATCCTTGCACAAAAGGATCCAGAATACTTGTGAGAAAGGCGAGTGTCCTTTGACCTCTGTCTGTGACCAAAATCGTCTGCTGGTGGATCTGCAGGGCTCCACATTTCACCAGAAGGTAACAAGCCTCTTCAAAGTCCTGAGAAGCATCAACCATGATAAAAAATATTATATATATAATAAAATAATGAAAAGCAAATTCTAGATGATTAAAAATGTCTTAAGAGTTTTTTTTTTCTTTCCTCACCTGTACTTCAGCTCCAGGACAAAGGATGAACTCATCAGAAAACATGTTCCTTAAGAAGCTGAAGGTGTTGAAGATCTCCTCTGGAAAAAAAATAAAAACAGAAAAGGCTTTAAAATGATTTGTTAATAGAGCACAAACCTCAAAAATTTAAATTTTTTAAATTTAAGTCCTAAAACATTTTTGTTTCTAAATTGGTACTAAAAACATATTTAAATGTTGCATAATGCTGAATGAGATCATACTTTCTGCAGAGTTGTACATTTTTGTTTTACTAAAATCACTTCACTTTACAGGCTCTCCGGTTTTTAAGTTATTTATCATGAGTTCAAATAGACTGTCATCCATGCATTTTGCTCTTAGTTTTAAACAAGTCACCATGAGGCCGTGGCATGATAGAGAGATGTCCTCCATCACGCTCTGTGTGAATTTGGGGTTAAAGTTTTAAAAATTCTAAAGTTTAGATTAAACTATTAGTCAAGCTGCTACGATGAGCAGAATTAAAGTAACAATCAGAAAAAACAAAGAAAGAAGAGGAGGACATTCTGGAAATGCCAAATGTTTCACCATATTCCAGTTAGCTTTCATTTCAGTTTATTTATATAGCAACAATTCACAACACATGTCATCTCAAGGTACTTTAGAGAGACAGCTCAACTAGATAATACAGTCAAATTGGTTAACGACACATAAAATAAAACTCCGTATGCTGCCATACTTTTCTATACCATGTAGGAACCCTGGTTCTATGAAGGCAGGTTTAAAACTATTATCTCAGAGACCTCGAAAGATGACCTTACACGCTAAGAGCACGTTTCTTACGTTTCTCGTTGACAGAAGCAGAGTGGATAGCGGAGGCCAGCAGAGCAGGTCGGATAAAGACGTGGAGCGCCTGGTTCCTGTAGGAGGCGCAGGAGAGGATGACAACTGCTTGATTCAAAAGCGCGTCCTCTGGCGTAATGGCCGGCTGAGGCAACCCTGGTTCAACCCGACCTCCTGCTATCAGAAAAACAAAAAAGTTCTGCATCATAATTTTTTAATCACGTTCATATCTGGGGATTGCCTAGATGGAGCTATTAAACATTAGAAAGCCTGCTGCTATAAATAAAGTTGGTTTGTTAAAAAAAAAAAAGTCAAACCTTGATCTAAAGCTAGTTGTACTCTTCCTTCAGAGATCCTCACAAGGCCTTGATGGAGGGAAAGGCTGGAGGAGACGACTTTGGAGGGAGGAATGTGGTCTGAAGGAGAGGAAAGGTGAGGATGAAGAGAAGAATGAGGCTTTAACAACAGAAGAAAAAGAACTGCATCAACTTAATGACAATAAATCAATAAAACACAGCAGCTGCAGCTTAAAGTACAAACTGCTGCTCAAAACATAAAAAGAGAGTGGGTCTACTAGAATGTAAATAAAATAAGAGATTAATATGAAAAATATTGGAAAGAGCCGCGATGTCAGAGGTGGGTTTGGCTCACTGCCCAGGGCAGCATAAACTTTGGGATGGCATCAGCGCCCGATTAAAAAAAAGGAAACAAAAAACTGATACTTATTTACACGCTGGAGTCAGACACCACACAGTGTGAGCAATCTAGAAGAATACAACAAACCACAAGATGGTAATTACATCTAATTTAGTGTATAATGCATAGCCTGTGGTTCAGAGAGAAATTAAACTTATTTCTCTGTTTGAACTAAATACATCCTTCTGATCACAGGTTTGTAAAGACTTGATGGTTAAAATAATAAAAGTGATCGAAAAAGAACTGTTCACATTTCAAAATGGTAAAAAGTGATTTCATGCCTCCTGAAACATTGAACTGACACCTTTCATATAGAATCAAGTAAAATATAAAAAGTGATATTTTATTTTTCTAATCCATTCCCATTTATGAATTTTTTTCTATATATTTGTAACCTGAGTGCTTGCTACCCAGGTGAGGCTTCGCTAAGCTTTATTTCAACGCCTCTCCTATGATGAATAAGGGCAATTCTAAACAACTGGACAGGTCATAAAGCTGGATAACTTTTTTTTTTTTTTGCTCTTTTTACCAAGCCTCTCTTTATTTGCTTTATTCCCTAAAACAAGAGGGGAGATTCAGAATCAGAATAATTTAATAATCCCAGAGGGAAAAGCACTTAGAGAAACCAAAATATAAGTAATCATTTTCAATCAAGTTTTCATAAATTTCCAGAGATCCATTTACTTTGCAAGCAGGATGAAGTGTCACGAGATTTGCTAATTCATAAAGTCCTGAAAACAAATCCTGCCTGGAGCCAGCAGATGCATTAGACTCGATATAGAAAAGTTCAGGATGAGAAGATGTTTGCAGGTTGCCCCGAATGGATTTGTTAAGAGTTTGATTTATCAGTCAACTCCTCTAGTTGTGAAACAAATCAAACTGTTACTGCTGCTGTGATTGGCTAGAAACTCAACATGGGAGGCAGGTAACCAATCAGCTCAAAGAATTGTACTTAACGTCCCTCCATTTTGTGAACACTTTTTATGAGGCTTTCCAGATCGATACATGTAGTTGGATTTTAATATAGTCTGGCTTCTGCCAGGTTAGAGATCGATTAGTTCCCTGATCCACAGTGGGGGTTTTGAAGAAATCTTTGGAAACTGCTGCTTTAGATTTACAACATTATTTTCCTTAAACAGCCTCACTTTTAAAAAAACCCATCCTTGCAGTGAACACAGCTTTGAATATGTCTGCCTCAGGGAGACTGACAGTACCGTACCAGGCCAGTGAAGAAAGGCTCCAAACTGCCGGGAGAGGTCCCTGAGCCACACAGCTTGTTCAGTCAGCTCTCGCAATGACATTCCCTGTTTGTTCCCAGCAGCCTGGTTCTGGAGCAGCAGGGAAGCCAGAAGGACCCAGGGCTTTAGCACCATGCTCTCCTCCTGGGCTCGGACCAGCCTGTAGGCCGAGTCGTTGACAAAGTCTTGGATTTCCTCTGTGGGCTTCCTGGGGATGTGCCTGTAATAAAAAGCCAAATGTCAGGGATTTTTGCGGGGACATTTTAAGCCGCTTTCACATTGAAAACCCGGATTTTTAAAAACCAGGTTAACCCACTAACAATTGGCTTTTGGCTCTTTTCTCATTTGACCGAAAAGCCGAGTCTGGCCCCTGCTGGCAAGCTGCGTGGCCACTGTCTCCGACCACTGGGTGTCTGATGATGGCATCACACTGGGTGAGCCTTGATGATGTCACCAGTGCGAAGGAAGTCAGGGAAGTAAATAATGGAGAGCAACATGGATGGTAGACGGTATTCTTTATTTCATGCTTTCATCTGTCTGAATCCCTCTCACCAGCGCTGCCCCATGTAGAACAAATATAAACAGAGAGGTTTCAGCTTCTTAGAAACTTGTTGACGTCCGCATGTTGCGTTCAATGTTGTCATGTAATTTAGCGCATCAGCCCAGGTCTGGTCTTCCCGCAGCATGCCTATCAGAGCCAAGGCGATTTTAAAGCCGAGTCGTTTGACGCACATCGGGGAGTTTTTCCCACTTCCACTAAAAGCCCATTGTTACCGGGTTGAAACAGGTTTTCCGGCCAGTGGGAAAGGGGTAATAGATATTTACTGATAGACACCAACATGTCTATCAGTAAATAGAGTAAATATAGTAAATATATATTTATATACCAGTAAATATAGTTGCATGGATTTACCTGGGTATTAGGTTAAACTGAGAGCGTTTAACTTTGCCTTCTGCCAAACTTCTGGCAGAAACAGGCTGACCAAAATACACATGGATGCTGCCATAGTCCTCACTCAGGATCTTCCTGGCTTTAAACAGACCCTGCAAGAAACAGAAAATAAAATCACGTTGTGTTGGGTTTTTTTTTTTGGCTTAACATGCCTCCATCTCCTGAAAAGGTTTGAACATAAAAGTAACTGAAACTTCTTTTGATAATCAGGTTTTTTTAAGTTCTGATTTAAATCTGTTCACAGTAAAGGGCTGGTTATACTCCCGCAGCAGTGTGTTGCAGTGAGCTTGTTGCAGGTATGATGCAGTCATTTTTGATTTATGCTCAATATTGAAGCGTGGTCTGCGCTATGTTTATTTCACGCCACAACGCAAAAGGGGAAAATCACGAACTAGCTGTGGGTCTAGATACGGCAGAGGGGGTGAGGAAATCGGGCCAAGTCTGTCCGACAACGGAGGGACATGAGGTGTCCGCGGCACTGTCTACGGTCACCTTCAATTTGGGAGAGGGGCAGCAGAGTGTCTGCGGAAGGGGGCGGGGACGTCTCTGCGTTCACAACGACACCTACGCAGACGACCTAGTTTCGAAGTATAAATCAGCCTTAAGATGAAGAGATTGGATGCTGCAATCAACTCACTGAGGTTGACTCTTTGGGCTTCGGGACACCCAGCAGTTCTCTTGCATAGAGCGCCTCCTCCAGGATCCTCTCGTAGCTGATGCTAACCGGGACCAGACTGACATCGAACACTTCTCCTTTAAGGAAAGGATCCATCACAATGTTCAGCAGGCCTGGAAAAGAACGCTACAGGTTGGCACAAAGTAGAACTTATTTACTTGTTTTTCTGCTAGGTGATGAACCTTCCCCTGAGTATCAAGTTATTCCCACGGACAAGTTTTCTTACAGGATTTGTGTAATTATCTGCAAACATCAACTGTAACTTACTTCACCCTCCCGGCTGAAAGCATCCCTACTGCATGATGATGATGATGATGATATCACCACCTTTTAATGTTGGGAACTATGTTGTTTAAGGTGACGTCTCGGGCTTTTACATACTATATAATTTAACAGTATCTAAATTATATGCAGGTGGACTTTATTTTCTAGTATGATTAGCACTAAAGGCAATGTGTTGAATGCATTTTAATTAATCCCAGAGCTGAACACAATTGCACTTTTACTTTGCGGTTATTTTGATTACTTGAAAACCGTGTAAAAAAAAAAAAAATGTCCACGTTTGGGACATACGTGTTTGTATAAACTGTGTTTGTGTATCACATAAAATACATTAAAGATGTTGATTTAAATAGGAAAAAATATGAAAAGAATTTGACTTTACAGCCACATCTTAAAGGGGTCTTAATCAGTAATTGTGGATTTTGTCTTTAAAAGTAACAGGAATATTGCTGATTTATTTTCTTACATTTTTAGTCCAGAAACAATATATATATATATATATATATATATATATATATATATATATATATATATATATATATATATATATATATATTTTTTTTTTTTTTTATATTCATCAAAAACATTAACAAGTCAACACAAAAATTCTATGGATAAAGAATTAATTGCATTTGCAATAAAAAAAAAAAATGCAATTTCACAATCAAAGAAACAAAACCTTTTAGTATTGTTACATGTAATGAGGTAAACACTAACTTTTCAGCCCTTTAGGTGGCAGCAATACACTTAAAGTACCACAAAGAAGGGAGGATGGTTGCAGTTATAAGTAAACCCTTTCCCTGCAACAGTGAAGTACAGCGACAATGCAGTCTGAATGATAGAGCATTTATGCAATTGTTGAACCCATGGAGGCCAAATAGGGATATGCTTGTGCTTAGAGCAGAGGAAGGGTCAAACATCACAGCTAAAGACAACTTTAAAGATTATAAAACAGGAAGGGGAGCTCATCAGTCCGCTGTGACATTATTTACCAAACTTTGGAGTCAGGGATTTGGCTGTTCGGCTCCTCGTGCCCTCGAGAAAAAACTCAACCGGTGCAAACCCATTCTAAAATAAACAGTTGTAAAGAAAAAAGGTTTAAAATAACGTGCAAAATGAGAGGCAAAGATTTCCACAGACTGTGTTCACAGCTCCTTCACCTTCAGCATGATCTTGACGTATTCTGAGAAAACAGCCCAGTAGAGTTTGTCTCCACCAAACGATCTGCGAATAAAGAAAGCCCCCGACATTCGCAGCATCTCCCCGATGATCTTCATCCCCATGAAGTCTGCAAAGAAACCCTCTTAGAAGTTAGTCTCTATAATGCAGTGATGGATGCATTTATCAAAGGAGCAGCTGTAGGACGGATGACTTACCCATGCCGGCAGCGATGACTGGTAGAGCTAAATCATAGGTGTACAGGATGTATGACATGAGAAGAAAATCCATGTAGCTCCGGTGACTTGGCAGAAGAACCACTGGGTGCTCCTGGATGGCCTGTTGAAGCTAAAAAGAAAAAGGTTATCTATGACCAAATTTCTATGAGCCCCCCCGCTGGGTCCACTTACTCTCTGGATGCCCTCCTCGTTGACGCAGATGCTCCTGAACAGAGTTTTAAAGATTTTACAGAGAGTGAAAGCAAAGAAGCGGATCGTGCTGAGCTGCAAGCGGTGAGCCATCTCCTCCAAGATGGCCGCCGCCTCCGCCTGGATCTCATCTGTTGGCGTGCCCGTTTCTTTGGAGACCTAAAACCAAAAAAAGCATCTTATTAAAAGGCATTATTCAGTTAACAAAAGTCCACAGAATGATTTAAAGGGATGTAAGCAGAACAAGTGGAAAGTATGGAAAAGAAGATAAATAAGTTAAATTACAGCAAGCCGATGAAAAATAAAGGCGTGGACATGAACTCCATCCTTTTAAATCCTGTAGCCTGTCAAAGGTTGGAATTCTGTCTAACCCTCTGTCTTCAGTTAAAATATTTGTGTGAATTAGTGGCCTTTAAACTGTTCTAATGCTCCACTAATTTGAAACAAACTCCCAGAACAAGGAAATAGGGCTGAAAACCTCAGTCAAGATTTGAAACCTATTTGTTTAGAGCAGCCTTTGACTTAGCTGTTTAACATTATTATTTTAAGTTTGTAGTCTAACATTTTTTCATTTTTACAAATCATTCTAATTATTCACTTTTATTCTCTTAAACTAGTCATGTCCATTAATGATCTAACCCTCTCCAGGCAGATGTTGCAGATTTGCAACAGCTAAATGCCACATAGCTAATTACTCCCATCCATATTTTAAGAGCTTTTGTTACTCAGAAGTACAACAGAAGGACTTAGTTGTGCATTTGCAACAAACAGTTTCTCTCCAGCTCACCAGATAGCACTGCTGACTCACTTAACATGGCTGAGTCCTTGGTGTCACTGAAAGCACCAATTTCATATCACTACCAATTTCCATTATTTTGAAATCAATACTACATAAGATAAATCATGAACGTGTATAGATATGACACATGCCAATTAGTAGATTTTATCTCCTCTGGGTTTTTCACCAGAGGCATCTCGATTTCAATGTTGTGGATTCGCAACGTGTGCCCAAACAGGTACCAATGGATACTACATGCTTTATCTACTAGTTTGCCTACATTATATTTTGAGCAACAGTTAAACAGAAACGGTCAAAAGAGGTTTTGAGATGTCGGTGAAGAAAAAGTTGTCTCTAATTTCGTGGAAGAATTTATTTTTTTCGTATTTTGTTTTATTTTTTTTGTTTGTGACATTCAAATAAAGTTAACATTCATATGAGATTCAGTCTTTAGTGTTAATTTACCACTCCAGGCCACTGTTGCAAATCTGCAACATCCCAGAATTCATTGCATGTGAAGGTCTCTCTCTTAAAAAAAAGAGTCTGAATTGTATATTACTACCCCATATGATCATTTTCTCCAAATATCAGATTTTTCCTGCAACTACAACTTAATTTGAGCCTGAGAGGGTTAATGACCTTTATGCTGCTGCAAAGTCCTGTCTCCTTTTGTTTTCCTAATTTTTTTTTCATGTCTGCTTTCTCACTAAGGCTAAGACAGTAGAGCACATCAGCCCAGTTCTGAAGTCCTTCCACTGGCTTCCCATATCACAGAGAAAGTTAGTCTATCACTGAATGGCTTAGCTCCAGAATACATTACAGACTTGCTGTCAGAAGATTAGCTGCCTAGACCTCTCAGGTCTTCTGGGTCAAATCTACTCTGCATACCATGAACCAAGCCTGACAATGCAACTTTTAGTTCTTATTTTCCACTAATATGGAAGAAATGCAAAAAAAAAAATAAAAAATCTGTAAAGGCGTCAAAAACCTCAGTTGCTTTAACTCCATGTTTGTTTAAAGCACCCTTTGACTGTGGTACCTAAATATTACTAGTTAAGCTTTCATTCCAATTCCCCCTTTGATTTTCTTATGAAACATTTAATTACCATTATGCCATTGCAATTTAATTTCATTCTTTGTTGGTGTTGAGCACTTTGAGGTAAAATATGCTACATAAATTTGACTTAAACAATGAAAGTTATGTTATTGTGCAATAAATCAGGAGGGAAAGGAAATTGTGCCCCATGTGTCACAGTGATTCAGCATAAAAACAGAGGATCTTTTCAAGGCCGAGGCAAGAAAAGAACCATTGAGAATGAATGGGCAACGCAGCGACCCTCCATCTCAATAATAAAAGGACAGCCACATTTGTAAAGATAGGGCACTTTATATAAGCTGAATAATTTCAGGAGAGCTTAAAGAAATAGCCTTGATAATAAAGCTTGGTGTGTCCCAATGATCTCTGGGAATGGAACTAAAAATATAGTAATACCCATGCTGTACCAGGAGGTGGCGATGATGGCAACCCCAGTAAAAATCCCAGAGAACAGAAATCAAAGCTTTGCCATATCCTCTATATTACCAAAAGTACTGGATGACACCACCAAATGAATGATTTCAGATGCTCCATTCATTTCCATGGCTGCGGTTGTGTGAAGAAACCTGATTGGCTGGAAGTCAAACATAAAGAACACCCATGGAATGAAGGCTTTAATCCTAGTTATTAGTTCTGACGGGGAACACAACCCTAAACCTTAACAAAAATGTTTACAGAATAGTTATAGCTTTATTTACAGAGTTTCATCAACAAAATAGACCCTTGAGATTAAAAATAGAGCATTACCAACATCTGTAATGCACATGTACAAGTATAAAAATACTTTTGTAATATAGTGCATGTTTTACCAAATACTTTTAAACATAACTTTTGTTTTCAGGACTTTTGTTTCAGGAGAAAACATTTACTATTCACCTGATTGATGACATAATGCAGCTGATCAGACTGCAGCACCATGTTTTTGAGTTCGCTGGCTTTGCATGGAGTCAGTCCTTTGTAGAGGGCAGGAGTGTAACACCTGAGCGCATATCTTAGATCACTGCCCGTTCTCCTTTCCTCCAACATGTCCTCAAAGTCATCTCTCTTCTTCAGCATTGGGTCTCTATGCTAATGAAATAAAAAAGGAAGCAATTGCCAACAAGAGCAAAAAAATTACTTAGTTTGTTTTATGCATTTTCATCCTTTGAGTAAACTAAATCAGGCTGGATTATTCTGAAGGTGAGAAGGAGCACCTACATGTGAATATCTATCCTAACCAGTGAAAAAGGGTTAACCTTGAAAGATCCTCTAGTAGAAACGTATACCTATTGACAACAAAGAAACTGTTCTTCTTTAATGCCCTGTTCTCCTTCAAACTCCCTGATGAAAAAGGAGACATGGGTAAATAAGTGCCTCATCTCATTAATAATCTGGCCCCAGGATAATGAGCACTATAGAGATGGTTTTTTTTCACATGCTCAGACAGTTCAGGACTCCATGACATGCAATGTGCAATGCATGGTGTTCTTAATAGGACCCAGGAGACATTGCATTGTCAGATTTTTTGAATTGCAGTTAGTTTCTTAATATAGCAGGAACAACTGATCATGTTCACATGTCGATATGCCAACATCCAAAATCATATAACAGTGAAGCATAACTCTAGATACAATTTCTGCTTTGGGTTAAAGATTTTCACTCTGTAAATCAAAATCATCAAATAATCCCCTTTTTCAAAATGCCATAAATGTAGTCAATGCTAACACTAAATATATATCATTGGTAAAATATATAAATATTCAACTGCTAATGAAACCCTTTATTCTAAACATGAAGCTTCTTGAATAATTCTTTGCATAGTCCTGATTATGTAAAAAAGTGACAGAGCAAGAAAAGAGAAAATTACTTAACAGGTTTCAAAAACATTACTCAGGTTAAAGCTATACTTTACTTTTTAAATTGAAAATGCTACAGTTAGTTAAATATAAATAGAAAAGTAAGAAAGAATCCATTATGACTATTTCCACACGGGTTCCTAAAAATGGAAACTAAATGACTTCTAGGGAGGTAGGTCTGACATGTGGTCAGACACATACACACACGTGTATATATATATATATATATATATATATATATATATATATATATATATATACATCTTTACACATACATACATCCATATACGTATATTATATATAAAATAACATCAGAAAATTGTATAAATCTCAATCCTTTCCTTCCAGGACCTTTCAAAACTTTGCAGTTTAAATAAACTTGCAGAGCAAATCAAACTCTAATTCGGCTCCGAGTTATCTGAGCGAACCCAACAAAGTAGCATTGCGTTAAGAGGTTAAGCGACACTTGATGTTGAGCAACAGGGACCCCAGCTAGCCCAGCCAGCTAATAAACACAGCAATAAACACATTCTACACACCGAATAAACCACCTTGGACGCCATTCTTTGTCCCAAAACACCGCCTTCATCCGATAAAGATGAGTGAAAATGAATATAGTGTTGTCCCGTTTACTTTTAGATACCAACAGCAGCTGCAGAGCTCCGTATGGGCGTGAGAGCTGACACCTTTTTCACTTCCTTCACCTACGGTGGCTGGTAAGGACCACTCCGGTAGCGTGTTGCGCGCTGTGCGTTTTCACGTGTGTTGTCATTCATACAAACAAGTTCGCAAAGACATATTTTTGTCTGTTTGATTTACCATAATTTTATTTAGCCGATGGTCTTATAATAATTTTGGAGATGAAAGAGGGAAAAGACGAGGACAGTTTGTTTCTGGAGCAGGTTCTGGATTCTCTTTATGACTTTGGTAAGCCTTAGGAGCTAATGCTAGCTCTGTTAGCCGATTTAAACTCTGCTCTTTATGTTATTTTTTTTTTATGTACATAACTAAACTATGACATAAAAGGTAAGCATTTTGTGTTTTCATTGTTTTTATTTCAGCTTCTTATGTCAAACAAGTAAAAAAAAACGGAGCTTCAACATGTTTAACGTAGGCTACGTTTACCTATTCTAAAGGAATATTTGTATTGACTAAAAAGCAAAAGTTTTTGTTGAGTTACAAAAAAAAATTATTCACATATTTAGTTTAATAAAAATGCATTTATTACCTAAAATCCACACTCTTAAAAGCTAGAACAATCATAACATTGTGCCTATGATCATCATAAAGGGTACATTTTTTTAAACCTACCTCTCAAACCACAAAGTCTTCTTTAACATCTAGTATATGTATAAATATAAATATCAAAATATTTGCATGTACATATTGGGCCCATAACATATATATATATATATATATACAATCTGCATCACGTGGATAATCTGGCCTTCCTGTTTACATCATGTCTGAAAATATTCCTTTTCTAATTCATTCCCTGGTGCTTCAGGATGCAACTTTGGTCAATCTACTTTATAAGAAGACACACAACATGCATCATATGATTAAAGATGATGAAACTCACTGGAGTGTATAATAAATGGTTAATATGCACTATAGATATCCATACATGTTTCTTTATCTGTTTACTGTCTTTTATAACCACAGTTAAAGCAGCATGATTTGTTCATCTTGTTGATGGAAAATTACAGTGATCGCTGTTTTTTTATTAATTTTTCCTCATCATGTGAGCTTATTTTTAAAGGACATCTTTATTGGTTCATGACATAAAAGTAGTGCATCACTAATCACACATTAATCTGTATGAAGGCAGTGCTGGGGTTTAGGGAACACGGAGGTTCAATTTGAAGTAGTCCTTTTATTTTGAAGTTTAAATGTTTAGAGTTGGGTAAGAAATAATCAGGATTTTCACGAAAAATGACCATCTTAGATGTTATTGATTGACAAATTGTCAAAAAGAGAAGAAGAAAGTGCCAAAGGGAGAAAAAGGTGCATGGGCTATATACAGTATATACAGTGCGTCCACATATGACAGGTTTTTTTTTTTTATAGCAGGATCATTATACAGGGTTATTGCAAAGTGTATTTACATGGGTATTTATATAGATGGATATTTATATATATATAGTTATTGTACTGGGTGTCAAATATAAAGAAACAGGTTATTGCACAGGGTATTAAATAGAGGTTTTGTTGGCTCTACTTCATGTTTATGGTTTCAATTTTCTGTTGCAGGTTCAGAATCAAAGAAGACGCTTAAAGCCCCAAAAAAGAAAAAACGAAAAAGATGTGAAGAGCAGGAGGAAGAAGAGGGACTTGATCCAGCGAAGGAAGGTTGCAGCGACAATGAAGACAGCAGAGATTCTGAGGATCACCGCGGAGCAGAGCAGCCAAACACCGAAGGGTTTAAACGCTTGAAAGGTGGATTATCACAACTCGTTATAAATGCAAAGCATACATAAGTTTAAAAAAAAAAGAGTCTTAGATTTTTATTTTTTTTATGTATTGAGTTTTATTTTCCTGACTGAGCTTTTACTCGGTCTTAAATTTGAATGTTTTTGTTTTATCAAAGTATTGTTTTTTTTCTGTTTTTTTTTTTTTTGCATTTTTTCACAAAACTCTGTAAACATTTACCTATTATATGTGTTAAAGTTTTTTAAAGGAATTCGGACATTATTTTACTTGAATTACAAAGCCAGTAGTGTTAAGTAGAAAACATTCCTGTTTGAAGGAATATAAAGTCTGCAATCAAGCCTTTCCCACAAGTTCCTCGAATTTCTTCTTGTTTTAATTTCTTTGGAGAATTAAGCTCAAAATACTTGTGTTGGTTATTCACTAATGTGAAAAATGTGAAAATTTACCAAGATTTTACAGTATTTTTAGTAGTTGGCTAAAACCTAAAATAGAGTCGTCTGTCAAAGCTGAACATTTTTCACCAAAATGAATAAAGTTTTCTCAGATTGTCTTTAGTTTTTGAGCAAGTTAAAAAGTAAGGCAGGCAGTTAACTATCTTATTTATATAGCACCTGTTACAGACAAGGGAGGGTTACAAACTGCTTAACAAAAACCTACAAAACTCATAATAAGAATACAATCCCTATCTCAATAACATCTATTTTAGTCATTGTAATGCTAACATGATTAGCCTTCATTTTCTACTCACCCCCATGCTGAACAACACTCTGGAGTACTTTTTTGATATCTCAAATGCATCTGGAGATCTGGGAGGCTTCTGGCTGTCTGCTGACATTCAAATAATGGAGGTCTATGGCGCCCGAGACAGAAAGGTCCATAAAAGTCCACATTAACGTGTCAATATTCCTCCATACTGCTCGTCCAATGTATTCCAATTGTCCTGAGTGGGTAGCATCCAGAATTTACTCGAAACAAAGTTATTTAGAATGTTTTTAGAGCATAAACAGTAGTGTATAGGATTTCCTGAAAGCGCGCACATGCGCGCTCACAACGCTACGGAAGCCGGCAGACCAAACCAGATGAAAGTGCGCATTCAGCGTCTGCTCTGCCAATAATGCAAGCGTAGAAGAAGAAATGTGCTGTTTACCTGTGCAAAGAAAGAAACAACGAAAGAAAAATGTCTGAGGACTTCAGTGTTGAGGAAGAGCATGAGTTCTTTGCCGAGCTGAATGCGCTGGTTTGGTCTGCCGGCTTCCGTAGGCTCGTGAACGCGCTTTCAGGAAATCCTATACACTACTGTTTATGCTCTAAAAACATTCTAAATAACTTCCTTTCGAGTAAATTCTGAATGCTACCCACTCAGGACACTTGGAATACATTGGACGAGCAGTATGGAGGAATATTGACACGTTTTTTGTGGACTTTTATGGACCTTTCTGTCTCGGGCGCCATAGACCTCCATTATTTGAATGTCAGCAGACAGCAAGAAGCCTCCCAGATCTCCAGATGCATTTGAGATATCAAAAAAGTACTCCAGAGTGTTGTTCAGCATGGGGGTGAGTAGAAAATGAAGGCTAATCAAGTTTTGGGTGTACTATTCCTTTAATAATAGATATGATGTGGACCAACGCAAATCCTAAATCTACACTATAGCATTCTTTAAAAGAGTTAAAAACTATTCTTAAATGTATCTAAAATTTGTAGAACCCTGTAAATATTTGAACATGACAGTAATAATAATCTGCAGACTCTTCCCTCTGATAATCTCTCACATCCAGGCATCCAGCCAGTGAACAAGGTGGAGGTGGTGACGTTTCAGGACCCAAGAAAGAAAACTAAAACCAAACAGGTTCCGGTTTCCACCAAGATTCCAGTTAAAGCTCCACAGGTTTGCGTCTCCTACTTTAATTTATAGAAATCTCTTCTAAAGCTAGATAACCTCTGAAGATTAAAGTCCATTTGTTTAAACTGTAACCATTATTAAACTTTTTTTTTTTAGAAAAAAATCTTTCTTTTGAACGCTGTCATTTATTCAACATTGCAAAACAGAGAGAATATATACAGCTTTTAAAAATAAAGATTAGAGGTTTAGTAACCTTTTTACCAGCTGACCAAACAATTTAAAACTAAATAAAATGTTAACTTAATATTAGGAGATAATAAAATGTAGGCCAGAACTTATTTCAACCAGTCAGATTAATTTAATTATGAGAATAAATCCTCTAAATGCCACAAACGTCCCATTTTAAATTAATTCAAAACTTTGTGAAATGTTAAATCCAGTACCATGAACTTCATTTAACCTGTTTTTTTATCCTCTGTTACTCTTGTCGCCTTTTATTTCCATCACTTTCCTCCTACTCTGGCCCTTATCCCCTTCGGGTGTCGTGCACGTCACATCCAGGAGTCTCAGACAGCAGAGCAGAGGCGAATCAGCCAGCAAGAACGGCTCAGTTTGGAAAAGGTGAAAATATTTTTAATTCGATTTTACTGGAGTTTAGCTGCTTTCAATTTATCTTATTAAGATTTGTTGATTATTGCATTTAACCCCTGCGGTATATGTTCCCTATGTTTTGGAACCTGACATGTTTGTGACAGGCTCGTCTGGAAGTCCATCGGTTTGGAATCACCGGCTACAAGAAGGAGCAGCAGCGAGTGTTTGAGCAGGACAGGGCGATAATGCTGGGAGCCAGAGTAAGACTTAGCATCTGCACTGCAGTAAAACATTGTTTGCCCCTTACAGATTTCTGTAATCACACTCATATGTTTTAATATAGTCCAAAAATCTTTGAAAAACAAACTCAACATGAAGAAAAACAAACAGCAGTTTTAAAAGATTATATCCTTTACTAAAGGAAATAAGCTATTTCATCCGTCCTGTCCTAAAAAATCGGAACTTCTGACATTTTGTTAGATGATTTCGTTAACTAATCAGGAACTGTGATGTTAGTTTAAGAAGCACACTTAGAAAAAGTAATTTCAGTCAATAACTCACCAGAACCAGTTTCTTTGTTCCCTGCAGCAGCAGAGCAGCTCCTGATACTGGGTGCTGGTTGTTGATGTCGTTGTCTTTCCATACCATATGCACACAAATGCTGACTTGCTCTCAGCATGGGCGAGTCGAACATGCAAAAGGAACCGGTGTTGCACCTGATTCTGTGCCCTGTCACATATTTTCACAATGGGGAATAGAATATTTGATGACGCGATACGTGAGTGCAGTTCAACAACAACAATAAAAGCCAAGCAAAACAGAAACTTTCTCCCCTTCAGTGTGAATGTACCTGTTCGCCAGGCTCTTACTGAATACAGTCTGGCTGCGGTGCGATCGCCGTTAGTAACCCAAATCAACAGCCACCATGCTGTGTGGTTGTGCTTATCGAGGTGGTGCAGCTCAGCAGAATGATTCCACCAGAAGGAAGTTTGGTGCCCATGCCACGCTCATCATTTTTAAAAGCCAAACAGGGAAAGAGTGACGCCAGACAAAAACGAATCCTGGTCATTTCCAACAAAAAAATGACACTACATTGACTTGTGAAAACAAAACGGAAAAACAGAAACATGAGAAAATAGACTGGTGGGTTGAAAAGCAATAATTGGGCAGAGATAACGAATTTTGTGCTAGAACTTCAGGAAATAATCTGAACCCATGCAAACTTTATTCCTTGCAAGCACCTTTTCTACAACCAGAGCATCAATGAGCCAGTCTGGTTCCAGCCTTTGGTGACTTTTTGCAGCACATTGAACCGCAGTCAGTGTGAACCCAATCTGAGGCTTTTATGCTAAAGTGAACCAGAATCAGAACCACTGTTCTTACTGAAAAAAAAAATAAAATCTTTAATCTACCCAGGAGTGGCCAGCCTACCAAAATTACTCCATCAACAGCTCATCCAGAAGGCCACAAAAAAAAAAGAATAAGAACCTCACAAACCGCTAACAGTGTTGGGCTAGCTACTTGTCCATTGTAGTGAGCTAAGCTATCAGTTACTCAACAATAAATTTAGCTTCACTACACCAAAGCTACCACCTAAAGAATTATAGCAAGCTAAGTTACACTAATGTGTTAAAGTAGCTTAACTACATCAGAGGCTACTTAACGTTGTACTAAGCTAATGTCAATTCAAAATGAGTCTGATACACTGGTTAAAACATTTATTAAAGATCAGCCAATGACATAACACAGTGTAAACATTGCTTTATGATCAGCATAATAAAAAAAAAACTAAAGTTATCACTAGTAGACAAAAAAATAAACAATCTGCTGTTTTTAGAACCAAATGAAAGGTACTGTGTAGTGTTCTACACATCGAGACATGGATATGAGTTTGCATTCAATGGACATCTCTAGGGAAAACAAAACCCTACAAAAGGCATCTTATTTCTTTAGGGTCTCCCTTAGAGAAAACGTCTTCAGACCTCAATTAAACAGTCGATTCAAGTAACAAATGAAACTGTTTACAAAAGAAGGTGAAAAAATAAAGAAGCTAATTAAGAGATATATATACACATTAATGTCTCACTGTATAATTTAATTTCTACCTACATATTTATTCATTGTATTTTGGGGGGTAATTAATTGAATGTTTATTTATTTATTGAGCATTTATTTATTTATTTATGTATTTATTTTTATACATGGGAGAGCTGTTCCTCCATACCTAAAAAATCTTATCTGTGCAAATAAGCCTTAAAGGAATAGTACACCCAAAACATGATTAGCCTTCATTTTCTACTCACACCCATGCTGAACAACACTCTGGAGTACTTTTTTGATATCTCAAATGCATCTGGAGATCTGGGAGGCTTCTTGCTGTCTGCTGACATTCAAATAATGGAGGTCTATGGTGCCCGAGTCAGAAAGGTCCATAAAAGTCCACAAAAAACGTGTCAATATTCCTCCATACTGCTCGTCCAATGTATTCCAAGTGTCCTGAGTGGGTAGCATCCAGAATTTACTCGAAACGAAGTCATTTAGAATGTTTTTAGAGCATAAACAGTAGTGTATAGGATTTCCTAAAAGCGCGCGCCGGCGCGTTCATGACGCTACGGAAGCCGGCAGACCAAACCAGATGAAAGTGCGCATTCAGCGTCTGCTCTGCCGATAATGCAAGAGTAGAAGAAGAAATGTGCTGTTTACCTGTGCAAAGAAAGAAACAACGAAAGAAAAATGTCTGAAGACTTCAGTGTTGAGGAAGAGCATGAGTTCTTTGCCGAGCTGAATGCGCACTTTCATCTGGTTTGGTCTGCCGGTTTCCGTAGCGTCGTGAACGCGCCGGCGCACGCTTTCAGGAAATCCTATACACTACTGTTTATGCTCTAAAAACATTCTAAATGAGTTCGTTTCGAGTAAATTATGGATGCTACCCACTCAGGACACTTGGAATACATTGGACGAGCAGTATGGAGGAATATTGAATACATTGGACGAGCAATGTATTCAATATTCCTCCATACATATACATGCAGTATGGAGGAATATTGAAACGTTTTTTGTGAACTTTTATGGACCTTTCTGCCTCGGGCGCTGGGCACCTCCATTATTTGAATGTCAGCAGACAGCAAGAAGCCTCCCAGATCTCCAGATGCATTTGAGATATCAAAAAAGTACTCCAGAGTGTTGTTCAGCATGGGGGTGAGTAGAAAACGAAGGCTAATCATGTTTTGGGTGTACTATTCCTTTAAAACATCTGAACACGTACTTTTTATCAGAGGATTCAACAAGTTTCAAAATCTCTGAAGATAAGGCGCTCTGCTCCTGTCTCCTCCTCCATCCTGTGCGTTTGTGTCTGTGTGTGTCGTTCTTTGATTTCCACTACAGTGCGCATGCGCATGTTTCGTAGACACAGACAGGAGAGGCAGAATAGAGGCTCATGCATGAATGTCCAATGAATAACTCTGTTGTTTCAAAAATAGAAAACCTGCTTTCATTAATTAGTTATGCCCTGGATTTTGTAGCGTTTGTGGACGCTACGTCGCTACTTGATAAAAACAATAACGTCACTACAGGAAAGTTACTTGATAAATAAAGCAGCGACGCTACGGTCAAGCTACTGGAAAATGTAGTTAAACTAATAGCTTCGCTACATGTAGCGGCGCTACTGCCCATCACTGACCGCTAACGATCACAGCTAACTCAGTTCAAGTCAGTTTTCATGATCAGACAATAGGAAATGGAATAGGCAAAAATAATAGAAGAGGAAAAAAAATCTTTGAATCTGTAAGGGGAATATATATTTTTACAGTCCTATATAGTTGTTGCAATGACATGTTTGTCTAGTCAACAGGTTTTATTCATTGCATTAATTGCTTTTTAATGATGTTATTGAAGCCTCCAAAGAAGGAGTACGTGAACTACAAGGTGCTGCAGGAGCAAATCAAAGAGAAGAAGCAGAAAGAAAAGGAGGCTCATTCAGTAAGACCTGCTTATTCCATCATTACTATTCTGTTATGTTATTTCACAAAAATATATTTTAACACTTCTACTTTGCAGGACAAGAAGAAAAAGAAAAAGAGTAATCAAAGGTGAGACTCTCACAGCCACTTTAACTGTAGAGGGAAAGCCTCAGGCTTTGTTTTCATTGGAAGGATGCAGCCTGTGTTGTTGAACCTCAGTCAAAATTTTGTATGCCTTCTGCGTTTTCCTCAGGGACAAGAAGAAACCATCATCCTCTGGTTCTGCCGCAACGCCCTCCGGTCAGGTGGGTCGGTTCAAGAACGGCATGCTGATCCTCAGCTCAAAGGAGATCCAGAAAATCAAAGGCAAAAAAGTGAAGCATTGAGGTACGGGGATGTTTGAGGAGGTTTTGCATTTCATGACATATTCTGTGTTCGGGTGTCGATCTTCAGTCAAAGAGGAGTATTTCAGCAGAACCTAATTGGACTTCTATTGTTTTCATTAATAATCCTTCCTAACTAAATTAACTTAAACCTAAATTTTGTGAAGAGTAAAGCAATGCTAAGCACTTGGATATTGACTTTTATACGTATATTTGGATTTAGAATAAGGGCTTCTAATGTTCTGTGTCAACAGGTGACAGATTAAATCAGAGATGCAAGATGGAAAATGGCAGCAGGATGCAGGAGACCGTGCAGCGACTCTGTGTGCTGCAGGGAATGATAGTGATATCCAGACAAGAAAGTGTCAAGAATCTGACACCTTGATCACCAAAATGGACCATGAATCTGTGGCAGGACAGGAACAAACACACAGTGGTCGTGTGAAGATCACTTTAGTTTATTTCCTTTGTTATAAAGTATCCAAAAAAGTAGACACTGTAATTTCTTGTATTTTCCATACATTTTTTTTTTTTTTTAGAACTGATTCTGTGTTTTCATCATTTACAAACATTGTAGTCGTACAAAACATTTAAATTGGCAGCAGGGGACAACTCGAGGACAAAACTGAGGTAATAGAAAAGAACTTCACACATTTCTTTTATGGATAAATATATATACAACATGAGACAGCAGAAGCCAATGCTGCTTTTCTTTTTTCTGACACTCGGGCCTAAATATACAAACCTTGTTTCCAGGCTCAGCAGGCTGTGCTTTAGATGTAAACACAGGAGTTTCTGCAGAAGCTTGATGTTAAAGGGACAACATGAAAGGTGTTGGGTTGAGCTTAATAATAACGAAAGAACATACTTGATTGGATAGTTAGCCGCTGGCTAAGGTCACAGTTTTTTCTTAAATAGTTCTTTGTATCCAAAAAGATGCAGCTTCTGTGCAGTAAATTTAAATGTGCAATCAGTTTGATGGGTATTAGGTATAATGGCATGCCATACAAACACACTTACAAAACAACACTTACACAGAATGTATGCATGTGAATCAACTCAGAATGTTGTTGGTTTGTTCAATATTTTTTAAATAAAGATAATGTGTTTCCAAGTGTGATTTAAAACCACTTAGCTCCATAATTCTTAGTCATCCAATTAATTAATAAATAAACAGCCTGCAAACTGGAAAAAATTGAAATCTCAATAAGTAATTTTTTTCTTGAATTGATGAGGTAAGTGTGAAACTTTACCAATGGAACAAAAAAATTAACATTTAAATAAGAAAAAATAATTGCATTGTCTTATTTCAAGCGCATATTATCTAATTATCTTATTTTAAGAGTAGAAATCATCTTATTTATCTACTCAAATTAAGGGTAAATACACTTAATTTAAGAAATGTTGACTTATTTCTAGATTTTTGCAGTGATATTCCACCTTCCAGAGCATAAAATGATTCCCTTACACAATAGATGTGGTGTTCCATCTGGGTTTGGGCTGAGATCTATTTGTGGTTACAGTAAAGTCAGGTAAAGGGCAGGTCGTTGATCTTTGCAGGGAGGAGGGTCTAAGCTGACTAAAATAAAGCCCTTTGGTCAAAGCTGGCTGTTTGTGGCAAATCGGGACACAAGTCCCCTTAGGCAGATGCTCAGATCTTTCAAACTTATCAAAATTGATTATTTCCCTATGATGTACTTGTCATGTGACAAAACATTTAAATGGAAAAGTGAAAAAATAATTTACAATGCGAAAATGTATGCGAGCTGTTTGGTGTATTAGTGTTATTTTTTTCTTGCCAAAAATATAACTTTTCTATTTTATCCTGACAGCTCTGGTCAAAGAAACTTAGTGGAGCTGTTAATGTAGTGGTTCCCAGACTTTTCTTAGTGGACCCCTCCTGTGATTAAATGTTTTCACACCTCCCTTCAATCTTTTCAACAGTTGAAGAAAAGGCAACTGCAGGAAAACTGCAATGAAATAAACTACATCTTTAAATCAAAAACCACCACTTTTACATTAAAATTGTTCAAAATGGTCTATTTGAAGGTATAATTAAAACATTTTTAGCAATTTTTCCATCCAGTCCATGCCTGCCTGCAATACCCAAAGGCGCCCCTAGATGGTGCTTGCCCCACTTTGGAAACCACTATTTTAAGGTTTTTGATAACATTTAAAATGTTGGTTTTACTTGTCTCATTTAAATGCAGATGTCAACTTTATATCATAAAACAAAATGTTATGGAGCTTATTGCCTGCATAAGCTGCTCAGTGCTATTGATTTAGCTTCTATATGAGCAACCACTGCTGCAAACATTGTGATAAAGACGAAAATACTTAAATGTAAGAGAAGCAGAATACAGTATATGGGATATTTAAGCATGCATTTTTTTTAGAAAAATATCCTCATTGGTTTTGAAATTGAACGTTATTGTTAGCAGCTAGAGGCTAAACACTGCAAACGCTTGCAAAATACCTGCTAACAAAAATGTAATGCATAGGGAGGGGAAAGGATTTTAAAAAAGTAACATTTTATAGCCAGGCAGATTCAGATTAGTTTTGTTTGTTTTTTTCGCAGTTTACTTGATATTAAATAAAACATGCATTTCTCAAAAAAAAAAAAAAAAAATATTCATTAGGATTTTTAAAAAAATCAGATTCAGAACTGAAGTCAGAACTCTAGTTGGAAGATTTTGCAACTCAAGTATTGATTTAGTCAAAAGAAACATACTGCTAAGATTTAAAGATTTAACCTAAATCTGCCAGTGGTGGGATTCTAAGTATCATCTAAATCTAAAAAGGGACCAAATGTGTTGGTATGAAATCTTATAAGTTGACAAATGCTGCAAACTAGATATCGAAGCAGTGAGATGTATTTCAGAAATAACTGGTAATTGTTCCATGTCTATGTCCAAGTCTAAACTGAGACAACGGCCTTTAAAAAATAAACTAAATATATGGCCATGTGTTCAATAGAAGGTTTAGTCATTCTTTAGTGGCTTCTTCGTCTTCAAAGTTATATATGCTTAGAAAATACAAAACATACTAGATGATATTAATAAATCTTTACCTGATTGAATGCTGTAAAAATGCCCAGTTTTTATCCACTGTTGTGCATTTGTTTTCATTCATCCTGTTTGTTTAAAATAAATCTGGCTTTAAAAGAAATGAGCTATCATTGAACCAAAAGTGTCAAAATACAAATATCCCTGATAAAATGTTTAAATATCATGAAACCTTTAAATTAATGCAAAGATTTTAACATATTTTTACAATTCAATGAGTCAAGATGTGGAAACAGCTCCAGCAAACGGCGCGTTTCAACTGATCATCCTCTAATGTTGCCGCTCCCAACAATGGCTAGCAGAGAGCGACCGATAACTGCTGACAGCAACAGCACTGATTGCAGTGACAATTAAAACAGTACACTATTTACAAAAAAATTTCATATAGTTTTGAATCCTTTTTTTTTTATCCATGCTTAATATCACAAGTCGGTAGCTATAGTTTGTAGATCTTCATTCTCACAGAAACCCAGTTTTTATACACCTGGTCAGTCTATCCTCATCCCTCTCACACTCATGCTAGGGAGTCATTAGGGAGTAGAAAAGATGAAAAATATGAAATAAAACATCCAAATCAAACCTCCGATTTCTAATAAACCTCTCTGCCTCTTCTCCTTTGTAATAAAGCCTTTTTGTCTATTGTGTATTCCACAAATGTTACATCCTACAACCACCAGGTCACAGTGGTCTGGTTTAAGCTACTTTCCTCTCCAGGTAGCCGTATCTGGTCCCTCATGGAAAATATGCAGCAGTAGATGTAGCTGAACCTGATCTGACATGGAAATCACTTTCAGCGTGACGCATTAAGATGCTTGAGAGCATCTCAGTTACTTCAGAGAGACTGAGAGATGAGATATCAATTATAATGAGACACAATTCTTCCAATCTCATTTGATTGTAAAATAGCGACCAAAACTTTCACAAAATACAATACAAATATTTGACACTTCCATTTGATATACATTTTGTTAATTGTTAATTATTTTTCTGAACAGAACCTGGGAGAGGCTGCAGGCTGCGATGCTAGAGGACAGTAATGTATCATGCCTTTATGTTTGTTTTGTCAGGATGCTAATGATTTTAACTTGTAATGACATAACAGATGGTATCAAAACCTTTCTTTAAACTACAGCACAGTTATTTCTGCATTGAAATAATAAAAGAAAAAACTTCAAACATAAATCTCATTAAAATATAGCCGGTATTTACTTCACTAGCTTATAGTTTTGCCTTTGAACTGTTCTGTTTCTGCACTGAAATACACTCATAAAATAATTTATACGTAATTTGTCGCTCATTTGATTTATTTTAGATTTTCTGATATAAGCAACTACTTGCATACAAAAATAAGAAGTTGATCCAACATGTTTTGCAGAGATTATTTCTCTAATTGTAGCCTGAGGGAATTGCTTGGCACAATCATTGTGTTGAGTATGCAGACTCATGCTGTGATGCTTTCAATTTTGAAAAATCTGCATCTTTCAACATCCTAATTTCTAAGAGCTTCACATGAGTCCAATTAGGTGGTGAAATTAAATGGACTTTATTCTAGTCATAAGGGTTTTTTTTAGAAATATGACAGAGGCTACAAAGGTAGGAGAGGATGAGATTGTAAGGAGAGGCTGAAGGCTTTGGATATTGTGGGGCTTTCATGTGGCAATCTGAAGCTCACTTATGGTCATATGATAAAGATTGTGAAAAAGACCAAGATGTCAGATAGCAGCAATTGACATTTCATCCCTCTGCAGCGTTCAGGCAAAATTAACTATATGGGATTTTTTTTACCACTATGTGTAGTATCCAGGGGCGGATTTGGGAAATTTGGGGCCCTAGGCAAAGACAGGCAGGGGGCCCTTTGAATTGAGAGGACAACACATTAAACAGACCCATTCTACAGATAGAGAAATGTTAATAGAATAGACTTCCATTATCTATTCTAGGTTTTGTCCCTCTCTTCTTGTCCCTTTTCTCGTTGTTTTCCTCTCTATGTTTTGTACTCAGCTAAATTTTCATGCTGTCTCTAAAGGAATGACAGATTTTTTCCAAGCACTAAGCTCACTTAGCTGATTGCTCCTTCCTGTGTTTCCAAAAAGGCTAAAGTAAATAACCCAGTCCTTCTTTTCACTGTAGACAAGCCATGATCTGCTTATCTGTTCACCATTTTTCATTTGGATGAAATGAAAGCTGCATGAATCATGACAGCAGACAAGATAGAGGAGAGGAGGAGGCGGGGTTACCAATCTACTTGCTCTGGAGAGCAGAGTTCGCTGCTTTTAGATGTTGTATCCAAAGTCTCCACTAGCAGGAAAAAGTCGCTAGACTTGGCATTAGGCGCTTTTTTCAATCAAAGTGCTAGAGGGGTCTGAAGCGTTCTGTTGGCATTTTAGCAAAAGGATTTTTATCAAAAACATAATGTGCACAAATAAAGAATAGTTGTATTAGCCATACATTTAAACAAAGTTTTAATGGGACCTCAGGTGCTTGGGGCCCTAGGCAGCTGCCTAGTATTGCCTAATGGTAAATCCCCCCCTGGTAGTATCTGTAGACCAAACCAAGATGTGTGACAAGTGACGCCTCTCTCTACGTCCACTCCTGCTGCAAGTAATGACTTACTCATAACTTTAGAAGGCTGTTAGCGAGAGAACTTCATTTTTTTAAACTGTGTGTCTTCTTGTAAATGTTTTGATCTGCTGAACGAGTTCTTCACCATACTGCTCTAAGGCTAAGCTCTGAGTTCCATGGATGCACGTGAAAACACAGCCAATCTAAATCTGACTTGTAAAACAGACACTGGAGAACAAAGTGTGACGTCGTACCAAATTCCAAAATGTTCTCTTTAAGAGCTGCACACAATTTGCAATGCAAGACAAAAATGCATTTTGTTCCAGACAGTGATGTTGAAAATGTTTAAACACTAAAACAGAATTGAATCAGTATTTTAACTTTATATTTATATTTCTTGCACATCATTATATAAAATAAGTCTTGTCCACGAATTGTTAAAAAACAAAATTCAAAGACCCTCTAACAACAACTGAAAGATAAGAATAATGGTATTTTTGGTCTTGTAAATTTGGGAGAAAGAAAAGTTCTTCTAGGTGAGTCAAAACATTTAGAGCTAAAGTTAACCCGTCAAACATCAGCACTGCTCCTGTAAACTAAGTCAGATATAGTGGTTAAGCCTCCTCTTTCCCCATATGCCACTAAATGTCCAGGACTTACTGGAGGGTCTATTTATCAGTAGCCAGTTAAAGTCTTAGGAACTAAAGAACAGCTAGAATTTATCTGTGAAATGAAGAGAAAAACGAATGAAAAAGTGAAAGATGGATAAATCTAGATTCTCTAACCATGAATTTACTTGTTTGATCATTGAAATAGAATTTGGGAAAAAAACAAACAAACATTAAATCTTAAAATTTGAATTAATATATATCCAATTTCCTTATATAAAGGTGTGTACTTTACATTTAAGTTCTCTTTTTTATTTCACCACATATGAGTCTTTGGATTCAAAAACAAAATTGAACAGGAGTGTTTCCTGCAGTAAGGGGACAAATAAACTAAGATGCAAATGAGATAAATAACCTGCAGAAGGTCGACTCCCAGGTTCTGCTGATTTGTTGCGTCTTTAATAAGTGAAATGTAATCAATCCCATTGTTTCTCAGATCCAGCACAACTGTAAACCTTACTGACAGCAGGAAACAATCTTTGTGTCACAGGGAGATTTTTGTCAACCTTGGATGGCTTTGAATTTCCAGACAATAAGTTAAGATATAATCAGACTGATGGACCTGTTGTAACTACAGCTGTCGAAGTTGAACGGTTCTTCTGTCAGTTTTTTGATCACCAAAAGCACCTTATTGATGTAAACTGTGAGGCTGTTCTCCAAAATAATTTCAACACAGTGAGAATGTCTTCTAGGTGTCTAGCTTTACTATTTAAACTTAAGATTCTTTTGTCATGAAATTGATACAATGACACTAGTTTAAAACAAAAAGAAAATCATAAATTCTGTTTGAATCCTGTGATTTTTGCCAGAAAATAAATCAATACAATAACCCCAATCCCCTTTGTAACAATGTGCACAAAAATTTACAACCAGTCAGATTTGTTCCTTCATCATGACATCGTATAGAAACACATGGCAGCTTGGAAAGCATGGACAGAACCAAAGCTGACATTTCAGACAAATATCCCCAATGAAGGGAACCGAGGCTGCATGTGACATCAGAGGTTAGTATCCAGGGCACGCTCAGGAAAGCAGTAAGCTCCTACTGTTTGATATTCTTTGGCACCTCCAATCCGGTCAGTAAGGTCACCTGAAAGAAAAAGAAAAAACGTTCAGCAGACAAAGCACGGTACAGGCGGATCGATGTGCATCTATTACATTTCAATCTCAGGTCTTTGCCGGATTTTTCTCCTTTTCTTAAAGATCCAGGTATAAGAAACTGTGAATCTGCTGCAAATTCTGTTTTTGCTGTTGCTAAAATATTTTATCTCTAAATCTGGAGAAAAAGGTAAAATCAGATTCTTTTACCTTAATGCATTTATTGCAGATGTAAAATATGCTTGAAGTAAAGGCTGAAATTTTAGTAGACCAGTTTTTATGCCAAGTAATATATGAATGAACATTTTCCTTCTTTATCACATGTTTGAAAATGGTTTCTGTTTTTGCATCTAGAGAGAAAATCAATAATTTTCCACATCTGTACCTTCATTTGTTTTTAAAAACCTTAAAGCCTTGTCTGAATTGTTAAAAATGACTATCGACAGTAAATTAAAATTCCCAAAATTACTTTTAGAACAATGGTTTGAATCTACCTAACCCGGAGTACCTCTTTTTTTTTCAAATAAAAATCTTTAAATCTTAAAAACTACTTTTCCCTTTTAGGAACATTCTCTAGTATCATAGTGACAGATTTTAAAACTAGATACTTTTACAAAAATAAAAGAAAACATATACTTGAATTAAATGTTTATTATTTGGAAAATTAAAGAAAGCAAAGAAATCCATCTGATCAAAAATCATTGTCTGAATAGCTTAATGCTGATGTTTGAATCTTATCCAGGTATTTCCTTAAAAGGAAATACAGAAAACAAATGACTTTGCTTTTTTAAAATGAATTTTTTTCTGAGTCAAAGTAGAAAAGCACAGTTCACAGAAAGAGATGTTGAGCTGCTCTTTAAAGATATCTGCATGTCATGCTAATCTCAACTCTGAAATGAAACTAACAGCTTCTGAACCTGGTGACCTATGAGCATCAGTCTCTTTGGAGAGCACTGATCCAGAAAATGTCCAGAAAATGTTACCGACACCAACCTGGACGTTTCTGTTGAGGCTGACAGCAGGAACAAAAACCCCGTCCAGGTTCTCGAAGGCTGTTGGTCCATGTTGCTCCTTGTTTATATAGAAGGTTAGGGTCCGTTTGGTCAGATCCAGCAGGATGCCCACAGTGGAGCCCTTAGTGATGCCTCCCTCCGCTCTACAAGCCACAAACACAGAAAACACAACAGGTATCTTTGTTACAATATATTGTTCTTACTTTTTATTAGTTTTAAATATACAGAATATTAGTCCCTCCAATTCTGAAACACAAAGCTGACATAGTGTCGGGTTCTTTGATAGGTTTTTTCTTAAGAAGAACTGAAATACAGACTTATCGATATTATTCCTGCAGGAAGGAGAGACAGTTGAACCCCAGACTCAAACACACTGTCTCCCACTGGACCTCCTCTGCAGAGCGTTTATTAACAGAACATGACACATGGTTACAAACAGAGTATTGTTCTGACAGAACAATTGATCAGTTCATGAAGACAGAATGCTCCATCAGAATGACAAGGCAGGATGGTCTCCTGACTGGATCATGAAACAGGAGTGGAGCATCCCCTCGCACAAATGTTTCATTAGCACACATTAATTTTATAATCATCATTGAATAAACCTGACACATAGATTAATCTGTGTAGTTCAGGACCATTTAACTCCTTTTTTACCATCCAGGTCCAAGTTCTGTTTAAACATCTATACCATGTAGTGTGCTCTTTATCAGTAGTTTTAACAACCCCCCACCCACCCATCCATCCATCCATCTTCTCCCACTTAGTCCTTGTCAAAATCGCGGTGGGGTCAGTGCCTATCTCCAGCAGTCTATGGGTAAGAGGCAGTGTACACCCTGGACAGGACGGCAGTCAATCACAGGGCAACTCAGAGACAAATAACCATGCATGCACACACACACACACACACACACACTCACACCTAAGGATCATTTAGAGAAGCCATTAACCTAACAGTCATGTTTTTGGACTGTGGGAGGAAGCCGGAATACCGGGAGAGAACCCAGGCAAGCAGAGGGAAAACATGCAAACTCCATGCAGAAATACCCCCGGCCGGGAGTCAAACCCGGAACCTACTTGCTGCAAAGCAACAGCGCTACCCACTGCACCACCATGCTGCCTGTAGTTTAAACTAAATATTTTAAAATCTAATTATGTAAATCGATTTAAATCTAAAGAATTATAACATAGGCTGCAGGTTTTAAAAAAACATCATAACCCTAACCGATCGAATGAACACCAAGAGATTGAGCATCAGGTATGTGGTGATGATGTGATTGGGTCAATTAAATGAATTAAATATAATGGTTTCTTTCCAGTGCCGTTTTCATGTTCCCTGTAGTTGCAGTCATTTGCTAGCATGCCCTGCTTCTGCTGTAGGCCTACTGCGGGACATAAAACTGATAACATATCTTGTTCTGCTCTAAAGTGACCAGCATTAATAGTCAGATGTCAGTTTGTTTGAGTTGCATTTGCTTCATCAGATCTAGCTTTAGAAACAAGACTGACCTGCAGAAAAATCTTAGACAAAAAAAAAATCGGTCAGAAAAATCTGAGGCACCCTGACAGCTTTGAAGGAAAAAAAATCTAAAGTAACATAGAGCATGCAATACTGATGAAATGTAGCCTATTATTTTATTGGACTTTAAAACCACTCAGTTTTTAAGGATGCACACTGGTTTTAATGAGGCATGGACTGGGTGTCAAAGTTAGAAAAGCCTTTTCTAAATGACTATAACTGGTATTTAGGGACCAAAACTCAGGAAATCTCTTTGCTAAAAGGATGAGTTATTCACAATGCTTATATAAAAAGCCTTTATGCTCTTAAAAATATGGCCTTAGCTGCTTTAGGCACCAGAGTATGAATTAACCTTGCTTGTCCAGTCAGCCATATAACAGACACACAGATAGAAGTAGCTGTAACTGCTCGTCATTACAAATACATACAGGTAATAGAAAAAAAATATGTATGTTTTTTTTTTCTTCTCAGGGGTAAAAATATATCATACCATCACAGAAATGCAAACTACAAAAAAGAGGCTATTAAAAAAATGTTTTCTAGAAAAAAAATATAAAAGCAATCTCATACACTCGCTGCCAGATTTCACTGCCAAAGGTTACATAAGTTATTAGGTTTTGGAGGCATTACCTTTAAACACATAAAGGCCCGCTTGGTTTGTTGTTTTTTGGAAAAAAAAAAATAATAATAATAATAATAATAATCATTTGACTTTTTTTTTTGCCTTTACTGAAGATATTTTCCCTTATTTCAAAATCAGAAAAGGTGGCAAAAACAATGGAGATCTGTAAAGTAGAAAATATTTTTTTCACAAAAACTGGGAAAATGACATCCAAATAAAAAGCTTCACTGAGAATGAGGAGGTGTCTTGACAGTGAACTCCTACCTGTTGGTGTGGGAGTTGTTGTGCATGAACCAGGAGCGGTTGTTGTCCACATACATGGCCCAGGCCTTGTCGTCCTTCCCCAGCATCATTTCTTTCATGGTGTTGATCCTCGCCACGCCGAATGCAGGGTCCGGGTGGTTGTCATATCGGTCAATGCTGACTTCCCAATAGTGAGTTCCCTGAACATTCAAGAGAGAATTGTGGAAAATGTACACTATAACAGAACTATGAAAGAACATGTCATTTATAATCATCCCAACCTTGGAGAACGCAGCCGTCCCGAGGACCACCCGGTCATCGTAGCTGCTGCACGTTGCTGTCTGGTTCTCATTAGACAAGACGATGTCCCGGTGAGCTGAGGAGGGGTCAAAGGTGAACCAAGCCACTGTAACGAGAACATTACATTTAGTCAGAGACAGTCATCCATTTAGGGCAGGGGTCTTCAACATTTTCAAGGCCAAGGACCTCCAAACTGATGGCGAGATGGAGCAGGAACCTCTGATTATATATATTGTATAAAATTGTGTTATATCAAATTGGTCCTATAGTAACTCTATTACATATGGAGTCATGTAATGATAGTTATTTCTCCCTGGGATTATTAAAGTATTTCTGATTTTGATTCCTGGTTGCTGGGACAGGTGTTGTGAATGAAACGGTGTCCAGCTTGAAAGAGCTCCTGTGTGTCGCTGAATATGTGCATTGATAACTGAAAGACATCTTCTGCCTCCATTTATCTGTTTACTACAGTGTTTTTAATTCATGTTAATGTGAATTTAAAGACAGTTCAATTAGTGGAAAAAAATAAAAAATAATCAACCAAAACGCAGTACCTCTGTGGACCCACTAGGGGTCATGGACCCCCTGTAAAAGTAATGATAACTATAAGGGGTTAACTTATCTGAAACAATATGGGTTAAACTCCACAAAACCCCAAATAGGACAGAGCTTGCTTTGGCAACAGAAATGCAAAACAAACTATGGAATTACAACATGAACACATATATATATATATATATATATATATATATATATATATATATATATATATATATATATATATATATATATATATATATATATATATATATATATATATATATATATATATATAAACTCAATTCCAGTGTTACACCTATGCTAATGTTTCCAAATCTATTTTCAGCTTTCGTTTGTCTTTACATAAAAATATTTGTGATTTCAATGATTAAAAGAATATAATTTTTTGAATAAAGTAACTAATAGTTATAAAGCAGCACATTAATACCAACACCAAAATTATTTACATTCCTGTCATTTAGATTTGGGTTTAATTAATCAGTTTACTCACCTTGTATTAATGATTTGAAATATTTAGAAATCTAATACAAAAACCATGGAGGGAGCGAAAGAATAGAGTGATGGCAAAGAGGTATTTCAACCTCAAAGAGTTTAAGCTTATCAACTATCAAAACAAAATGAAAATATTAATGGAATTATGTATAAACCTGGTCAGCACTGGGGTTTATCCAGTACAGATATTTCCCATTATTCGTAAAGAAGGGTAAAAACAACTTCAAACATTTCTATAAAAATGCAAGTCGATTTTTTTTAAATGGTACACCCATTATATTGATTTATTGTCTTTTGCGAGATGCCATCCTTATCCAGTAAAAAACAGACTTAATAAATATAATTTATAAAATTAGTTTATATAACTTTATCTAAATAATCAAGCTTCTCCTCTCTTGTCTCCTTGCACTGTTTTAACACTAACTTTGTACTCTTTACTGTCCTTTAAACAGTTTTCCTAAAAAAGAAACTTCTAAAAAGCAGCTTTTCGTATTAATACAGCAGTAGTGGCACTCTAAAACCTGACTAAGGATGATTTTCCCACCCAACACAAAACCACCTCAGTAAGATGCGCAGAAATAAACGATTCATTTTCGTACCATCAGAAGTCTTGAGCACGACCGTCTTGCTGTACGGTCCCACTCCGATGGCGTTGTAGGCTTTCACCCTGGCGTTGTAGGAGCTGTTAAAATGCAGCCCATCCACTGTGCAGACTGTCTCCTTCCCAACATACACCTCCTGAGGTACATCATGTTTTAGCATCATTACAAATGCAGTTTCCATGAAGGCAAGTACAGTTTGATTGAAGAGGTTAGGAAATGTTAGTTTACATCCACTGTCTTTAATCATTTGTCTTTTTTATAGAATACATCAGCTAATGAATTATTACCGTAATAACAAAGACCTACAAGGGAAAGTATGACATGACTTGCTGCATTTTTTTAAAATAATAGTTAAATTAGAAAGGGGAAACCGGCTGAAGTGATCACCTGTCTGTGACATTAACCCAGTTTTTACTCTATATGAGCACATCTTAAATGCACGTTTGCTGACAAGCATTAAATGATATGTAAAGTAAGCAGTGCAAATTGATTTTCTAATCACATTCATCTTGATTTGCACCATGAGAGAAAATAAAAACTACAACAGGGTTTTTATTCAGTCAAACGCTGAATTTTAACTACCCTCTCCCATGATAACAGTGTATTACAGTCATCAGTTTAAGCTGCAAAGATATGACTGAGAACATTGGGAATTTAGAAATGCATTTTTATTCAGTTGATCCTCAGTTAAAAGAAAACTGTTCCTCTAAAAACCTTTTAGAAATCTTCTAGTCAGTACATCAAATATAATATAGTTACTCTTAAAAATATTGTTGCACCGACACCGATACCAGTATCGGGCAGGGGCCCCGATCCAGCACTAAAATGGTGGTATCGGTATCAGCAAATACCAACAAATAGAGCACCGATACCATTTTGAGAGCCAAAAGTTTATTCAACTATAGTCACTGATTCCAGGTAAGCAATAAAAATTTCTACTGGATTCACTTTGTATTAGTCTTTTTCCTGCTTCCCAAAGGTAGGCAGCAACAAAGCCATGATGACAATTTTTTTACATCCAAGTAGTATGCAGTTCTTTATATATACACACACACATCGATTTCAAACAGAGGGTATCGGTATGGTATCGGTATCAACCAATAATGTACAGCCAGGTATCGAGTATCGGTATTGGGGCCAAAATATTGCATCTGCGCAACACTACTTAAAAACCATTGTAGCATGGGCTAAATGAGTCACAAAAGAAACAACTTAGTTAATAAATAAACAAAACTTCTGAAAATGTTGAGGTAGTTGGCTAAAACTGAGTAGAAGAGCCATTAAAATGCAAAGGAAACCACTTTTACTATCTATATCCTCTTAGCTTTAAGTTTATGCTTATCTGAAAGTGACCCACAGGCAAAGAAGAATATAGACAACACACAGCTACAAACTGTTTACAGAAGTAATCATGAATGAGGCTGTAACTATAAGCTTTAAAAATAAAACACAAAAAAACCAAAGAGCTAAAGCAACAAAATCTCTTTAAACATCCATCCATCCATTGTCTTACAAGCTTGATCCCGAGTGGGGTCGCGAGGGGTGCTGGTTCCTATCTCCAGCTATCTACGGGCGAGAGGAGGGGTACACCCTGGACAGGTCGCCAGTCCATCGCAGGGCAACACAGAGACAAACGGGACAAACAACCATTCACTCACACACTCACACCTAAAGACAATTTAGAGAAGCCAATTAACCTAACAGTCATGTTTTTGGACTGTGGGAGGAAGCCAGAGTACCCGGAGAGAACCCACGCATGCTCAGGGAGAACATGCAAACTCTCTCTGTAAACATTTTGTTTTTATTCTATTATGTGTCTTTTTTTCTGTTCTTGTTCGGCTTTATTTGAATTACTTTAAGAGCTATTATGTTGTACTTTTGAGTAAAAAAGTGCAGAAAATAAAACATCAATATTGTACTCTTTACCCTCTGCTTTAACCTTAGGATGTGCAATAACTTACCCTGTATTGTCCTCCATTCCCATCATCCAGCTCCAAGATGTAGCCCTCGATGGGGCAACCTGCAGGTGCATTTACCCTCCAGGCCAGGGTGGCGCTGTTGTTCATTGTGCAGCACTTCTCAAGCTGTAGTAAGGGAGCCGCTGGGACCGCGGGTCCAGATTCCACTGAGGGAAGTAATGAGTGGATGAAGTGTTAATTGAGAAATAAAGCTGAATGAGGGATGTTTGAACAAGCTGAGGGAACCTAGTGGGAGCTGAAATAGACTTACAGAGTTAAGGCAAACCAGATTCACTTGGAGGATAACTGGTAATCACTGGAGGTTTAAACTAGGCCACATAAGAACATTTAACACTGGGGGGCAGTGTAAGTCGAGAACCAGGTTAGACTGATATAAGCTCTGACTTTAAAAGCAGTAATCATTGGATCAGGATGGTCAGTCTGTAGGAGACATGAACTTCCTAAGTCAAAATATTATTACAAAGTCTTATTTATATCTGATATGCTGGTGTTTAATCAGGAAAAGGAGAGCATAAATAAATTGTGTCACATCAGGATCTACGAGAGAAAGTATATCAGTCTAACCATGAACTCAACAGGAGAAAAACACAGTAATAAACCTGCTTTTTTAGGATTATTTTTGGGATATTCGACTGTTTTGCAGACACGAGGGAAAGGCAGCAGTCATGACAGAAGGGGAAACATAACAGGATCGTTAGTCAGTATAATCTAAAAGCCTTTTTAGGTTTTATTTTTTCAGCTCGCCGCAGGATGTTCTCCTTCAATTCATTCTGTTCCTTTCCCCATGCTCAATATTTATTTCTTAAAAGACTCCTACTGAGCTTCAGTCTACATTTCAGCACCATGGCTACATAAGACATCTTATATAACTCTGAATCTTTGTGACTGAATATTACCAGTAAGGTTTTATCATAAAGAAGTTAATCATTTTATTCCTCAAATCTAATTCTCAAAACCATTTTCTACATTTGATTTATACATCAATTGCTCCTCATGTCACATGAAGACCAATAACATGTTAATTTGTAAGAAAACATTTTATATAGCGTGCGGACTATGTTTGTAGGCACTCACAATAATGGTGTGCATAAAAAATCTTTCAGGAGGAAAATCTCACATAAAAAAATACAGTCTGTAATTTGAATATATTTGCTTAAGAAGGAAAAACAAGTAAAGAAAATATTAGTAGCCAGGTAATTAGATTTAGATCTTAAAAGATTAATGTTATGTCTTTTTAGCCATTTCTGCAATGATGTGTCAGAATGTTTCTCTTTTTTTAGGGATGCACGATATAATCTGCCCCCTATCGGTATCGGCCTGTATCGGCCTTAAAACTGAATATCGAACATCGGCCACCCCACCGATATTTAACCCGATATTTGATCAGCTTCTGAGTTTCTAAAGTCTAAAAAAAAAAAAAAAATACTATTTCTTCTTCTTCCACAAAAACTTAATTTTTACAGACTTAAAAACTTCTAAAGACGAGGGAAAAAAATATTGATACATTAAAATATCACAATATCTTCATATGCTGATATATTGCCATTTAAAAGCACCATATCAATCTCTTTTACTAATGAAATATTGCTATATGTCATCATTATGCTACGAAATCCCCCAAAAATTCATGAAATTTTGCCATATTTTTATATGTTGATATATTGGCGTGCTATCGATCTATTTTACTAACAAAATCTCACAAGAATTTGCAAAATATCACGAGAGTTTGTAACAGAACGATGAAATTTCACGAGATTTTGAAAGTAAAATAGATCGATACCGCGTTTTTAAAAATCAATTTGATATCAGCATATGAAAATATATTTGAGTATATTCTTTTTCAAAGTGTCAGAAATGGATAACAAAACTGCTATTTTCAATGACTACTTATTTTTGCCCAGCTTTAACATCAGTATCGATATTGGTTATCGGCTACATGAGTTTTAAAATATCGGCATATCGGATATTGACCAAAATCCCAATATCGTGCAGCCCTACTTTTTTTATCAGTATCAACCTAAAAGGCTGCAACCCGTTTTCAGTTTAGTGGAAATGTTTATTATCAATGGAAAATATAATTATTTCCACTTATATGAGTTATTATGAGTCACTCCCCAAACTGAATCGGGATTTGAAGTCATTTGAGTCACTGATTCAGTGATCCTTAGGCTGAATCCCAAACCAGCCCCTAAACACTAACCCTAAGCACTACCCCTCTGTTTGTGCATTCCCTCCACTGATCTATATTCACTAGATTACTGATAGGCCGTTGGTAGTACCGGGTGCCGTGAAGTCTCCAGCTGCCATATTGGTACTGCCTAGTTAGACAGGTCGGAATGTAAACAATACGTGCGCTACAGCATCGAACAACGATGTCGTTCTCATTTTCAGGGGGGCTTAAAACTTCTAAAATAAAGATAAAGTCATCACTTTTACACACACTTGCTGCAGTCCATGAAGTCTATAAATCATGTAACATATTACACAAATCCATCACAACAAAATGAGTTTGTTAATGGAGCATAATAATTATGTAGTCCGATATTAAGAATATTAAAAACACATTCTATCTGATGAAGTCCTAAAAGTGCTAAATTGATGATGACCATGTAATAGCCTATGTATTTAAAATATTGTTATGGTAATTACATTACATTTAATTTTTATGGCGCGACTCAGTGAGAGTGGGGAGTAGCAAGATGGCGGCAGGTGACTTCAGTTTTTTCGGCCATTTCAGCAACCCGATGAATAAATAGAGACCAGTAGTTCCCACAGAGGGTCCGCCTCATTAAGTGCAGTCCCAAACCACGTGGTGGGTAGGGCGAGTGGACCTTAAACAGCGAGTCTGCATCTGGAATTTGGCAGCAGGTGTAACAGCGGCCTGTTGGTGGAGGGAACACGTTCCGCCAAATGTAAATTCCTCTGGTTTGCTGCATTTTCGTCACACTGACAGAAAATCGCAAGTTAGTTTGTGAAAAAAAATCCTAATTAATTCCAAAAGGGAAGGTCTTATTTGAAATAGTTTTATTTGACCATATACATTAGTTTTACGAAAGGGGAAAATGTTTGATTTTATGTCACCCTGTGCCACAGAGCTAAAGCCACGCACATGTTGCCATAGCAACTACTGCTTTCCTTTTCCATTGTAGGTAAGAAGCTTTCCCATTCTGGTATATACCCCCCACCTATAATCAAGGCGCCTTCCACATCTGCGAGTAAAACTTAATTGGGAGTGACACTTGATAGTTAGGGGTTAGTGGTTAGGGAGCGGTTTGGGATTCGGCCTATGTTCAGCTGGTTTGCTGCATCTTCATCACACTAACAGAAAATCACAAGAAAAAATAAAAACGGCATCATTAATCCCTAAATGTATGGTCCACTTTGAAATAGTTTTATTTTGCTGGAAAGATTCATTTTTAAGAAAAATGCAAATGTTTGATTTCTTATGCAGCATCACTGTGTTGCCATTAGGGTTGTCACGATACCAAACTTTTCAACTCGATACCGATACTAAGGAAAATATTCGATACTCGATACCATAAAAACAAAGACTCCAAAATTCTACAGAAATATTTTCATTAAAAAATAAAATACAATAAATAAATACAATAAACAATAAGAACAATATTTTGAGGTTGTATGCTGTGCACAATATTAAGCAAGCTTCATAAAAAACTTATAAAGTTAAAATTAAGTGTTCCTTCCTTGGCCATGCTTTGCACACATAATGACACTAGCCAAACCGGTTAAGTGCACAGAATTATTCTGAAAGCGCATTGTCCTCTATTCTGCAATTAAGATGAATGACTGCTTAGGTGCCACTGGTGGTGGCACTGTATCGATACTTTTAAAAACGAGTATTGTATCCGGATACAACGTTTCAGTATTGATACTTTTTTGAGTATCGATACTTTTGACAACCCTAGTTGCCATAGGAACAACGTCTTTCCATTGGAGGAAAGAGGCAGTCCCATTCACGTTTATACACCCCACGTACAATCCAGGCGCCTTCCACCTCTGTGAGTGTGACTTTATTTCGAGGGACACTTGATAGATAAGGGCTAGTTGTTGGTTTGGAATTCAGTCTTAGTCTAACAAAAGTTCAACCCAATGCTTCTCCCCACTGGTTCCTATGCTTAAAATCCCAGATGTCAAATTAAACATATTCAAATAAATATTAAAATGGAATATATGAAATATAAGGAAGAACAAAAAAATACATTTTTAGCCTAAAGGAGATGAAAAAATATAGTTTAAAAGGTACATGCTTCTGTGATGTTTTCAATGCTTCTGGTAAAAAATAAATAATTGAGAATAAGAAATTTTAATTAATAGCACTGTATCAGCACTTTGGAGTCCCCTCACTTTAAAAAGGTGCTATATAAGTGCAGGCCATTTATCATTTTTAATAAGGCACTAAAAGGGGCATAATTCAGGTGGAATTAGCGAAGACACTGCAGCAGAAAACAGTCCTGGTGGTTAGTAGACAGTCAAGCTGGCTACGCATTTTTTATTCACCACTTTGGGAAACAAACATCACTTTAATAGTCAGTAGTTTGTTTCCACACCACCGAGGGAGATTAGGGAGCTCAGGCAGCAAATATCAGCTCAACTGAGTGAAGCGGTGTAAAGCCATGGGAGCGAATGACTGAGTGAATAAGATGCTGTGATGGAAATAAGTTGGAGATTTATTTTTCTGACTTAAATATAACAACTTTTTTTTCTTAGTTGGCTAGAATGACTAGAAATACAATAAAGAGAAAGGTGAAATAGTTAAAAGAGACAGTGGGTATGGATTAAAAGTTTTTTTTTCATTAACAATACAAGGTGATTGAAAAAAAAAGATTAATTAAAGTGCAGTTTTGTTATTTTTACACATCTTTAACAATGACCGAATGTACGCAGTGGATGATAACCTAATTAATGTGCAATCTTGCTGCAAATCAAGCTCTAATACCATATAGTCTATGATTAATATGTTTGCACAGCAGAGTTCTGCAGAATTGTTATACATCACATTAACCATACAGAGGGAAGCAACCAGTGATACGCTTAGGGACAAAAAGGACCAGTGAGATTCCAGTTGACATGGTGGTAAGGGCGGTCAGGGCTGAGGAATGAGTGAAAAGACGCTGAAGGAGTGAAAACAAAGGGTCACTGGGAGGGACTACAGTCTCTGAAATACCTCCTGGGCTCTCTTCCTCCATCTCAGTCTCAACACTGTCTTCTGCCTGCATTAATTTCAGTACCGGTTTCTCCTGCATATCTGGAAACAGGGGGTCATTTTGCGTGTTTTAAACAACAGGACAGCAAAGAGTAAAATCTGTGGAGAACTATAACAGGAGTTGGAGGATTTGCTGCACTGTGAAAATACAGTTTAAAAGAAAATCCATTGTTTATAAAAGATTTAGATGTGCTTTGCTTTTTTGTAAATGAGTAGTTTATGAAAATGAATGCTCAGTAAATGTTTACAAAGTTCTTAATTTCAGGTTGTGAAAATGACAAAAAGATAAAGTTGTAGATGATGCGGTTATCTCCATGTTTGGACTAATTAAAAGGATGTCGAAACACATAAAGCACATTATGCTTTTTTTTATTTTTATAGAAAGATTATTTGATATGGATAGAGATTTGGGATACCCACAGGTTTATCCTGAAAAAGGAAGAGTGTCACTTTCCATGGCGATGCAAACTTATGAACGGAGGGCGTCTAGTAAGGAGGGATCCCTGAATGTATGGAGTCTTTTCTTAAAGTTTTCTTATAGTTTCCTTCATATTTTTGTTGTGATCTTGAAGTTTTGTGCTGCGTTCACCTTTTGAGGTTATCTTTGCTGTTTGGGGTTTTTCCATATTAGCTTTTTTTTCTTTTACTTCAGGAATGTTGTGCTTTGGTCTTGTCTTAGCCTGTTATTTAGTTTTGCTATTTGGGTCTTGCAGTATTTGTTAATTTTTTACCCCATATTAGTTTAAGTGTTTATTCATGCTCTAGTTTATTCTTTAGTCATCCTGCTCTAATTGATCATGGTTTGGTTTATTAAATTTCAGGTTTCATTTAGTAGATTTTTTATAGCAGTTTTACTGTGGTTCACTGTGGTTATGGATTCAGGGTTTTTTCTGTGTAATTAGTTTAATGGTGTTCGGCTGCTGTCTTTTGTGCTGCTTTTATCAGACTTTATTTTGCTCATGTCTAAAACAACCACTTAAATAATCTTATATAATAATTAATCTTACATTTTAGATTAAGTTTATATTATATTAAAATGACTAACTGATGGTTCTGCCTCTGTCTGCCAGTCTGCATATGGGTCCATCCAAGCTGTTTCTAACAGTGATGGATAATGAAGGTTGGTGCAAGTCTGATTTTAATGTAAAAATGTATGTTTGTTTGTTTTTATTTCATTTTTGTAAAGTCAAGTTTTAGTGAGGTTTAAAAAAATGATGCAGTTTAAAAAGTGCGGATTTGCAACTTTGGAAGGATTTGACTGCACAAGTTAATCACTTTGTGTTCTTCCGCATGATTCTGCAAAGCAGAATCAGAAATGTCAGCATTTTTCCCAACACACTTTTACGAGATCAAATGTTTAATCATTTATGATAATCACTGGGAGAAACTCCCCCACTCTGTTGTTGCTCTAAATGTCAAAGACTAAAACTCAAAATAGAATCTGATTTCCCATCTTAAAACCCTGTAGCTTTGTTCTGGATGATCAGGGAGATGCGAGTGTGGGGAAATGAGGCGACAAGTTACATGTCACCAGCCTGGAAGAACAAAGACGAGATGATCAAAGCTTCTCCTCTGCCAAACAAGCCTGACTGCAGCTCAGATTAGAGAAACTCTGCTTAAAGTGCAGCTTGACTTGAAGGACGACCTGCAGATTGTGTCAGACGGCTAAAAGTCCCTTCTCTTTATGAAATAAGCTTTACCAACTATACGCTTTAAAACATTTCAAAGACATTCCGCATTCTAATTTTTATGCATTTAAAAAATATACTATACTGCTCAAATAATTGGATGTCATTAGGTGTAGGTTTTTGTTTTTTGACTGCCGATACACCTTAGGAAATCTAGGATCACAGTGAAAGTAAAACCCTCTTTTACTCATGCATGGCAACTGTTTGCTTAGTGTGAACAGCAAGAAAAACATAAATGTGTTAAGTTTGTCTTCAAATTAAAAAGAACAATATGAAGCAGACAGAGGATATTTTTGCTCAATCAGTCATTATAGAGACATCTTTGGTGTTCTTAGTGATTCAGTCTTCCTTAGGGGTAAATAAATTTGGCAGTCATCCACAAAAACTGAATATAATGCGAGAATGTAAAATACAAATTGTATAGGTGCAAAGACCTATACTATTACAAGTTAAGCATAAAAACATCTTCTTAACCTTTAGTTAAGCCCAAAGATTATTAATAATCCTGACAGTTTATGGATTAAAAAGGTCTTTATCCAATCAAGGAGTTTGTTTGTGATTGCAATGATGGAAAAAAATAACTGTTCAACAATTATACATGTCCTTATGATTATAGGTGACATGATCAATCAAACTGTTTATATTTCAATAATGATGATTAATCTTTGGTGATGAATTCAAAGTCTTCAAACTCAATTTCTCCTCCTTACCATCACCATGATTTTTAGCTCCTTCACAGATTAAATGAAGTCAGGATGACAACTTCCAGTCAGACTAAAAATGTTGGTTAATTTTAGAGACTACTCTAATCACACGTCTGGCTGTGTTATGGATAACTTTGGGTTTACCTTAATCATTTTACCAAAAAAGACTTTGGTTTGCTTGAAACCCCTTTTTAAACTGGATCTTTTGGTGTTTTGTCATTATAAGTTAAGCATAAAAAACATATTTTTAAACTGGATCTTTTGGTGTTTTGTCACTACAAGTTAAGCATACTAACATCTTTTTAACCTTCAGTTAAGTCCAAAGACTATTAATAATCCTGACAGAGGGAAACATAGATAAAAAAATTCCCTTTTCTAATATTTAAATTTTTTAAAGCCAAAAGTTTTTTTGAGGAATAAAAGCAGAAAACATGTCATACAGGATATGATCCACTGCAGAATGGAGCATTACTCAGACACCATCTCAGACATTCAGTTATTTTTTTTAAATCTTCTTGAAAGATCGGATTTATTCAGACATTATATGTCTCCTTTAGTTAAACAACTTTCTTCTTTCTATTTAAAAAAAAAGCTTTATACAGTGTGTAGACATGATCTGGTAAAAAAAAAAATAAAAAAAAAGGAAGCTTGTTATGGAAATCTAAAGAAACTGTTTCTGATTTAAATGTACGCAAACCTTTGCAGCTCCAGTTGTATAGAATATTTGGATGCTTGAAGTTGTGAAGTATTACTTAGATACATGATGAGGACTCACCTTTTCCCTCGCAAAAGTCCAGCTGTAGGATGGTCTGCATCAAAGAGTCTGTATTCAGGGTGAGGTCAAAGTCGGGGCCAACCTTGGGCTCCAGGGCCCCCTTCACCCACTGGTCCTGAGACGATGCCACTCGCTTGATCAGGGCATCTGAGATCTACACAGACAACAAAAATGAGGACTGCAGATATTTCTCTATTTTAGATAAAGACCTAGTTGATGGATAATTTGAGAGAAACTCTCAGTTGTGTAAAGCTCTGGCAGCATACATAGCAGTCTCTTTGGGATGCCTTCCTGTGGCCTGGGTTTATTACTTGCTGCCTTCATACGTTCTTCAAACACTGCAGGATTCAAATTGGACCCCACTGTTTGATCGTCAGAGCTCTACTGCTGCGGGAAATAAAAGCTAAATGAAAGCATCACATTAAAATGCACTTCCCCGCGATTGGGATTTGAAAATTTACCCTTTAGCTATAAAAGGGAATAATTTTGTTTAGTCATATTTTCCGCCGGATTAGTCCAAACTGCAGCGAGCAGAGCCTCCCTGTAGAGATTAGAAGCTCTGATGATAAAGAAGGACCTAATCAATAGATTATAAAATATTCAGGAGTAATGGAACGGACGGGATGTTTCTGTGGGCGTCTGTTCCTCTCAGCATCTTTGATTTTATCTCCCTCTTACTCGACTCCTCCTCTGCTGGTTTCTTTGAGCAAAAATCATTCAAAACTAAAAGCAGCAAATTTCTAGTATCCGCCTTATATTTCACTAAAGCGCATTTTGAGTTTATTCTGTTAGAGTGAATAACCAACATTTTTTACATTTTCTTTCTTTTGTATCTTAGGTTCTAACCTTTATGATCAAAGAAGTCCTGATTTTAAGCTAATAAGCTTTTATGTTGAAAAGAGGGAATATTTCTGCTAATTATTTAACATCTCCTAAGTGAGATGTGTAAAGTCTAAACGAGTTTAAACGGAGGAAAATAATTCTTAAACATAAATTTCTTAATGTCACAAATGTTTCCTCATGTTTATCCTAAAGAGTTTTTTTTTTAATTGCCCACATTTTAGATATAATGTGGTTCTACTTAACCTGCAGAAATCTAAGCGTGTGAAGAAAACTTAAATTAAATGATTTGCAGTAACTTTCAGAGCTCAGACGTGTCTTTTTACAGGTTAAGTTAATACCTGAATACTCTGAAACTTTGAGCATTTTTTGTCAACACTATTTTTATGTTTAACAGACAGTTTTGGTAAGAAAATCATGAATACATTAATATTCCCCCTTAGTATTTTTGCTTGTTTCAGTTGCTCATAATAACTAAATCTAGTTAAATTAGCCTTTTCTATGATTTTTCATTTGTTTTACCACAAGGCACTTCCAAATGCTTAGAAGTCAATAGGTGCATTATTGATACCTGCAGGAACCCGCTGGGGTCGTTGTCCTTGAGGACTTCCAGACAGTATTCCATCATGCCGGTGGTCTGCCGCAGCTTCATGGTGCAGTGGGTGATCTGGTCACGCACAACCTGAAAATGTTGCACATCAAACTAATTAGAAATGGACAGTATTTGGTTTGAAAAGCGACAAGTTGTTATGGTTTGTTATGGTTCTTATTTGTTGTGACTATGAGTTTTCAGTTTTCTGTTATCAGTTGTTTTGTTTTTATTTTCCATGATCTTTAAGCATTCTTTAGTTACTCTCTGTTGCCCCCTTGTGATTGTTTTCTTTCCCCTTGGATTCCCTCTTGCCAGTTCCACCCACACCTGCTCCCCATTGAGCTCGTTAGTCCATCCTTTTGTTTGGTTCTCCTTAAATACTCCACCTCAGCAGTCACTCAGTGCTGGTTCCTTCTTGTTGCTGTATTGTCTACTCTGCTCATCTCTCCCCGGCTCCTCAGACTTGTTTTCCCCCTGATGTCTCCATGTTTTTGGTTTGTTTTATATTTTAAGTTGGATTTCTGGATTTCTGCCTCTGCTGCTATTTGGTCTGCAATTAAACCTCTCAGAACTCATCTCTACTTCACTTGTCTCTGCATCTGGGTCCTCAAGCAACCTCACCACCCATTGTTGACACAAGTGCTTTTTGCCAATATTGTTAAGTCTCTATAAAAATAAAGCTTAAACCGTGGTCCCATAAAATGAAGCAGTATTTGAATTTAATACAGTCTTATTAAAGTGCAAAATAGTAATAACACATTAAGGGAACAATTTCAAGATTTAAAAAATACAAAACCCAACGGTTTTTATAGATGGTGGATCTATACCAACTGCCAACTAATATAGTCCAAACCTTTATTTTTCCTATGCTGGTCACACCTTTAGTGTCACTTTCCATTGAATGCATCCCGATAAGCAGTGATATACATTTATAATGAACCTGAGTAGAAATGAGCCACACATCCTGTTTCATTTTTTAAGTTTCCTGTGTTTGTGAGTTTGTAGAGTTCACTGTTTGTTTGTTTGTTTTCTTTTGCTCTTTATGTACAGAACTGTTAAGCTACAGATGGATACAGGATTTCAGGTTTGGTGTCCTGTTAGTAAATAAAAGCTTACTTTGTTATAAAGATGTGGGGATCAGATGTGTCAAGTCAGAGGCTGACCTGTGAAAATAGTTTTAAATTCCATAAAAGTCTTCACCGGCAGGGTTTTTTTCTATACTACATACACATTTAGATTCCATCACGACACAAATACACAGAAAGCTGTTGTATAACTGTAGAAAAAGAGTCTAAAAAGTCTCAATGTACATCAGGTTTGGAGCTGAAGATCAGACAGAAAACATCTTCTGACTCTCCGATAATTAAACCAGTGAGTGCCTGGATGAATCCCAGTTAATTAGATGGAGTCTTTGCGATTAATCGCCTCGTTTGTTTGAGGATTAACGATATCCAAGTTAATTATTCACCTGTCATCCGCAGTCTGGACTGAAATATGAAGAGCGTGACGAGCTGAAATAAACACTTCATACACTCTTTATGCGGTGTTTTCCTTTGATAATTTGTTCGTTTACATTTGATATATATTCTTTGTTATATTATTTATTACCGTCAATAAAAAAAAGATACCCTGATATTTATTTGAAATTGTTATATTTTTTATTTTAAACTTTTGATATATTCTTGATTATTCGGATTTTACACAACATGATTACTTAATCATGTTGCTATAAGACCCTAGTTATAGATCTGCTTTTAATAGAAAAACTGTGTATTTGGATTGTACCATTTCTGTTCAATTAGTTAAGTTGGAAATTAGTTTTTTTTTAGTTGGTTTGATCTGTTTTAATTATTACTCCCATGCCTGAGAGTGTTTTTCATAGCTTGTTACCTTTAAGCAGTGTTTTTCTTTTGCCTTTAAATGTTTATTCAACACTTTGTTTCCCCACTTTTGGAGCTGTAGTGGTCTGATCATTTCCTGTGTTTATGCTTTAGTTAAAGTCTGTTATGTCATGATGTTGGAATTGATGACTGGCTTAATTACTCATTTTTTCACCTGCCGAGCTCCGCCTGTTTTCTCATTACCGTTAGTCTGATCCACCTGCTCCTGCCTTTATTTTACCTGGCTGCCACTAGTCATCATGCTAGATTAATCAAGCCAGTGGGGAGAGTGTTTCCAGTGTTAATCTTATAGTTTCTGATGACTTGTTCTGCATCTCAACCAGTGAGCCCTCCTGTTCATGTCTAATCTGTTTTAACCTGCCTGCTTCCAGTCATCACCTCCAGATTATTCTCGAGCCAGATGTGAGAGTGATTCAGCGTTACCTTAGTGTTTCTGATAGCTAATCCTGTTCTGCTTCTCAACCACTGAGCCTACCTGTTCCCATCTGATCTGTTTGACCTGTTTTTGGACTCCTGCTCAACTCTTCCTGTTTAATGAACTTTGAGTTGTTCCAGTGTAGTCTTATTATGAGTTCGTATGAAATCGTACGAAAAGTTATGCACCGTAATTTCGTACGTTTTGGACATTTTTTTCGTCGTATGCGCATGCGCATCTGACGCACCATTCACGAACATAGAATATAAATTACAATTAGCCCTAATCCTGACCCTAAGATATAAAACAGCAAGCAACGTAGTTAGAGACATGAATAAGTGATGATTGCACTGTTTTTCCCAGTTTTACGTCCGGCCGCGGATCTGCTTTTTTTTTCTGTCTGCCAGCGCATCCGCACTGATGTGGTTTTTTGAGGAAAAACGTCCAAAACGTACGAAATAGTGTGCATAACTTTTCGTATGATTTCATACAAACTAATAATGAGAATATGTTGGTTGTTCCTGTCAATGACCTGGATTTCCCTTTGGAACCTCTTCTGACTTCTGATCTCCTGGTTCTGAATCCTAAGCACGTCCTCAACACCGGCTTTGGCTTCGCCATGTGGATTATCCTGCCTTCCTTTATCTCCTCTGATCCGATATCCTGCTTCTTCTACGTCCGAGGTTGTAGCGTCTGTGACACTCTGGGTGGCAACCGCCGCATCTTGTTGTCAGCCGACCGGCTGGAATCAACCACGGCGTCAACTAAAAAACCAGAGGTTCCTGCCTTAGACATCCTTGCTGTGACTGCAGATCGGCAGTTTTTAAAATAAATGCTTTTGACTACTGGGTCCTCCATTCTGATCTGTGACATGTTAAACTGGTCTATTGTAAAGAACAAGGAATATACTCTATGTCTATGCTACAAAAAAAAACTGCCTCCAACCCAGTCTCCAATCTTTTGCAGCTTCTCCCAGGGTTTCCTTAATCTGCTCCTCTGCTTCTGCATTCCCCCTTCCTCACATGATGCAGCTAAACAGTTTTCCATCGGCATATTTTGGTGATAGACATTCTGACGATGATTGGAACAGAGCTCTATGAGACGCTCAAAATTTGACATTTTGTTAAAGAACCGCGTCCTACCATAAATATCTGAAGAACTTTATTCCTGAGCTGTCTGCTGTGCAAGATGCTTTTACTCACTAATGTTTTTTAATAAACCTTTGAGGCTTTAATAGAACAGTACATTTGTCCTCATTTTAAAATTACACTCAAGTGGATTCTATTTATTAATTATGTGACTTGATTGCAACCGATATTTTGCTTTATCTGGACCAATCAAATTAAAGCGCTCAAAATCTGAATGGATGTCATTCTTACAGCATATTTCCTATTTCACTCCTAAACCATAGTTATGCGCTTTTCTATTAGTTTTTCCACATTCTTTCACCATATGATTCACTGAAATGTATGGCGTTAACATAGAATATTAAAAAGTTCCATTAAATATATATATTCTTTACATTAATGTTATAACTCATGGTTGATATAACTCCTGGTGGATGCCACCAGTTAAAGAAATGTTTTTTCTTTCTTTATAATAAGTAAATCTGCAAATAAGCAATATGTGTGGGTTAAACATGTGTTTAAAAAGGTGTTATTAGATCATGACTACCACAAAACAGATTATTAAAATAAAAAAAAGAACAATTTTGATTTAATTAATTTTTAAAAGGTGTTTGTTAAGAAAAACATTTACCTATTTTAAGTCTTCACTGAGTGACCTTATCTCCTGTGTGATTCAGTTGAGGGTTGCTCTCTTCTGCTGACACTCATCATCTGCTGACAACATGCTCATTCAATCTGGGTTCAGGAGCTTTGCCTATCATGCTACAGCGGCAAACGAAATGATTTTCAGAGTGAAACGTTAATAGAAGTCATAAAAAAATAGCGCAGCTTCTCTTTTAAATCACTATGAACCACATTCAGCTCCATTGTTCAGTTGATGCTTTATGTAAATCAATGTGTTCTGTACTCTCCTCATTTAAAACCAATTTAACACAGCTGTGAGGCAAGACTACATTACTTTAGACATGACATGAAGTCAAAAGGAAACGGCATTAACTTTTCATTAAATGGTTGTGAGCTGCATTTTGTGATACAAATGTTTATGCTGGAGCTACTGTTCCTGTTTGTATTGCATGTCTGGTGTTTTTACAGGATTGCTGAAATGAAGAGAGTGCTGACTGGATTAATAGAAAAACAGAAGGATAGAGATATGGACAATCTGTGGAAGTTAAATTGAGTATAATATTTTATTCATTTAGTGCCCATTTATTTGCTTACCAGCAAAAAGTATATCTTCAAAAGACAGATTTTAGAGCTTGAAAAGTGGACATCTTTTGTTTTGATTCCCCAAACTGGCATCGTTCTGACTCTCATCTGCAACAGGTAACATACAGACTGCTTATATATATACTCCACATATTCAAAGCAAATTTCTCCTTAAAACTAATATAAGCATAATGTACAGAATTACATATTCTAATTTTATGCAGAAAACTGGTAGGTTTGAACTCAAAGATGATTTTGCAGGTTAAAGCCTCACTTTTATCAGTGTTTAGAATAATTAACTAAACTTTGACTATAAAAATATTAGTCTGATGGCTTTTAATCATCTTCAAAATCACATTCATGTGTTAACATGATGGATTACCACTAAAGCATGAGGGAGCAACACTGAACGATAACCGTGTGAATACTGAGTTGAAATTAGTTTGAACGTTATTTTCTGTTAAAAAACCACCTAATTGCATTACTTTACTTATCATTAAAATCTCATCCTGCTCCAACAAACAGTATTATATGAGTTAGTTATTAAGGAACACTGATTTTTTATTTTTTATTTTTTTTAACTCACTGCTTGAGGTGTTTTAAAGCAGAAACACTGCACTAAATACGAGAGGCTGACTGACTCTGGTTGGAACCGAGAATTAAATTGATATATTAGAATATTTTTTATCATAAGTACAGGTAATCTACATGTGCAGGAAAACATGATGTATCTGTCAAGCAGAGATGGCAAAAGTACTCACTTTCCGTACTTGAGTAAAAGTACAGATACTTGTGTTAAAAAATACTCTGGTAAAAGTGGAAGTACTGATTAAACTTCTTTACTCAAGTAAAAGTAACAAAGTACAGGCTTGTAAATTTACTTAAAGTATAAAAGTCAAAGTAGAAACCACTTTTTTCATGCCGTTGCCTACATTTAAAATGGATGTCTGCCAATAGGACTAGATCTCCGTTGTGTTCATTTTCAATCATCTTGTCATCCATGCTACTATGCTAACGCCACCGCCACCAAGCTGCAATGATTTGCCTCCAATGAATACCGCCGAATCTGTCGATTCATCTTGTAGTGGTGCGTCAAATGCAACGTAGATTCCCATCCAATTAGATTGAATTTGGTATTGATGACGTGAAAAATAATAACGGTAACTCCATTGAAATGATTCAAAACTAAAGTAATGAGCCAGTTTTTTAAAATGTAAGGAGTAGAAAGTACAAATATTTGTGTAAAAATGTAAGGAGTAGAAGTAAAAAGTCGCCATAAAAATAAGTAGTAAAGTAAAGTAAAAATATCAGAAAAATCTACTTGAGTACAGTAACAAAGTATTTGTACTTCGTTACTTCCCATCTCTGCTGTCAAGTTTCTTAATTTTGTTTGTCAAACCAAAATATACAGAGGAATTAGCATGGGGAAGGTTTAATAATGAAGCAGGAAAGTTACAGATGTAGATGAGGGTGAGCAAAACAAGGGAAACAGACAAGGTAATGGATAATTCACCTATAAATGAGGAGAAAACAGGAGCTTAAATATTGAGACTGAGGTGGAAAAAAAATAAAAAAAATAAAGAGATGAGCTAATCGGGTTAAATGTGGGACGGCTATGGAAAGAAAAAGGAGAGTAGCTGAGTAAAACTATTTAAAACAAAGGGAGCTGATTTAAGACAAAAAGCTACTAACAAAGGAGAACACACTAACACTGATCTATGAGTAAACAGAATAGAACAAAAAATTAAACGAAGGAGCTAAACACAAAGATATGAATTAGTATAAAGGACCTTAGAGACTTTAAAGCACAAAGAGAAATTAACAGATTATTTACAATATAATCTAACAAGAACAAAAGAAAACAGAAACCCTCTAGATCCTCATAGACTGAATTTAAATAACCTTTTTAAAGACTTTAAAGCTTGGTGTTTAAAGGTATGAGTGTGAGTTCTCAAATGTGAAGTATTATAGTTTATGTAGAGTTGTCAACTGCTGGAGGCTGATCGAAAGCTTAAAGATCACCACATGGTCTGTGAAAGAGGAAAGAGAAAGGGAAACATGTTCCGTTTAGGAAATAAAGCTTCATACTATTCATTCTATTCATATATCTATTCATTGCTATTCTAAGCTTCAAAGTTAAAGCAATTTATAAAGATGTAAAAAATACCATCAAAATTACGCAAAAAACTTTAAGTTGATTCGATCTTAAGCGTTCAATTGTTGAAAAATAAAACACACAGTTAGTCAGTAAACATGCCCCATATATTACATAATATTTCACCATCATGGTAATAGTAAATGTAATCCTGTTGGTGAATGTTTGAAACCATCTGCTGTTTCAGAAAAATGCAATTATATTTAATTCAGGGTTTTCACAGCTGCTCCACATGGGAACTGCTTTAATATTAACTCCCCGTCTAGATCAGAGTGCTTTCCTTAAACTGTACCAATGATTATTATAGATTTTAACTTTGAACCCTGAGACACCTCCATCCTCTCCTCTAACCCTGCAGCTCTTTGCCCTCAAACCAAATGTATGTCCAGCGCCTGCAGTTAATGACTGCAGCTGTCCCTGAGGCTGCTGGTCAGACATCCTCCCTCTCGTCCTGCCCTGCCCTGCTGTGAGCCAGACGGCCAGTCGGTCGGCGGGCGCGTGGACCCTTGGCAGCCGTCCAGTTCATACACCAAGAAAGTGGATTAACAAAGAAAGAGACCAGCTGCTCCACACTGAAATTGTGTTTTTAAGAATTATAAAGCACTGATAAAACGCCTTTGGCATAAGCTTCTTATTACATCTGATACAGAGCCTTTTTCTCACCAAGCATTTGGAGCATATGTTACATGCTTTAAATAAGTTACATGGGACAACAGGTGCTTGTAGGTTTTGTTGATTTATCAGTGAAAACTCTTTCAAACTTGAGTACAGATCATATCAGGGTAAACATATTTGGTCAAATGAGCTGTTCTAAAGGGATTTTTAAAATGGATATATTTTACCTGTTTTTTGGCACTAATGGCCTTGTTAGAAGACATACAGGAAGGGGGGATGGGGGGGTGGCAGGACAGATTACTGATTAAAATGTGAAAATAAATCTATTTCCAATCTATGTCTCATGATCTGGCCTGTTTGCTCTCCCTTAATAAGTCATTCCTTTCACCTGTCGTTTTCCCTCCCTGCCTCAATTATAATTTATTCCTCTCACCTGTTTCCTCTTGGTTACAGTATATTCAGTTTAGCCTGAGCATTCAGTTCCAGAACATTATTTGTCTTTCTGTTAGCCTCTCTGTTATTTTGACTCCTTGGTTCATGTTTTGGATCCTGGCAGCCAGTGGAAAGAGGTTTTTGTGTTTGTCTCGTCTCCTGATCGTCCACTGTTCCTCCCCCGCGGAGTCCTCTGGGTTTTTGGCTCTATATGTGGGAAGGCTCAGTTTTTATCTCAGTAAGCCTGGCTCCAGGGAGGAGACCAGTTTAAAGTCCTGCATCAAGTTCTGGTTCCACGTCCTGTCTCGGCTACCCTCTTCCACTGAGCCTGCTCATCTGCACCTGATCCTGTCTGGTCCTGTGCATGACCACCTGGTCACGCTTTCGGACCCTGTCAGACTCTGAACCCTCCTGGGAGCCTGTTGATGCCTGGAAGTCTGGATCCTGCCACCTGTTCTGTCCCTGTCTGTTCTGGATCCCTGACCAGGATCGGCTTCCAGCATGACCTCTGGGACTGCAGCACTTGGGGACATTCTTAGACTGGACTGTTAAACCAGGTAAGTGGCCAACTCAGGTAATCATCTTCTGTCAGATGATCGTGGTCACTTACCTGTGTTTCTCCTGCAGAATGTCTGAGATGGGGCGGTGCCACGCCCCCCTCCTGCAGTGTCCGCGAGCCACAGCTCCACTTTAGTTTTTGTTTTGTTAATAAACGTTTTGAACTTTCCTACTGACTGTCTCTCCTTGAATACTGGGTCCATCTGTCCGCGATTCATGACAATATTGTTTTAATTATGAAGCAGAACAAGAACAACATGGATTTGCAGGAAGGCTCAGTCTCTTTTAATAATCTCTATTTATAACTACATGTATAAACAAGGGTAGTGACACAATAGTGCAAGTTCTCAAACTAGGCTGAGAAAAAACAAGTGCAACCATCAGGCGACCAACTACCAATTCATAGTTTACCTCTGAGCCCTGGTGGACACTTCTGGTAAAAACACACAATATACATAATTTCTTTTTGATAATCAATTATTGTAATTTACCTGTTGGATCTAGATTTTTTTTTTTTATTTATATATATAATTGACTTCCTCCAGAAAAAAAATCAAAAATAGCTCCACAGTTATCGTGTCTTAAAGCAAACATTTAGTACATTTACAAAGGTGAACTATAAAATATATTTGTTTTCCAGATATTACTTTGCCTGACTTATTTTTGAAGGGCACAAAGTGAATCTTTTTTTAAAGCCTGGCGGGTCATTGAACGCAGCACACTTAAGTGGTAACAGGCTTTTCTAGTGGTAACACTCTTCGGTGTGGATGTTATCCATCAGGGAAATACTAAAATTTAGCCTTTTTACATCATAAATACTATTCAAAATGAGAGGAAATACAAATATTTTAAAAGCTAATTAGGCCCAAAATAATTAGAAATGACACATTTTATAGGACAATTAGTTTGTTTTCCGTAATGATGCAGGTACATAGGGTACATAGCAGATCACTCTTTTATTACATTTCTGTCATGTCTTTGGCTTTATCTGCTTACATTGCTGATCCTCACTGCATGAGCAGCAAAACTATTAATGCATAAAAGGTGTGATTGTGTTTGATAAATTCACATTCATCTCACAGTAAACTGCAGTAGCTGGTCAAACAATCTCCAAGAGCATCAATGTTTAACTTTATCTGAGCTCCTACAATGAATAGGCACACTGCGTATTGAAATGTATTATTAATTTAATAGTTCCCAGTCTGCTCCACTTGCTATACATGTGCAAAAAGAGTGCTGTGTGTTTCTGGACAAATCTGGATAATTTACTTTGCAACTTAGGATTTTATTTTATATTTTCCTCAAAATGGACTTTCCTTTGTCAGTGTCAATCCTTCTCTGACTCATGACATTCCAAGGTATACCTTGGTTAGGACTATGCAGGAACAGTTCCAGAGAATCTAGAGCGGTCTGCCATTCTTTTCAACCAGATGTAATTGCTGTCACTTTATACTGCCTGTTTTTTTTATCGGATCAGATGCTGAATCATGTCTGGTTTTTCTGGCCCCTAAAAACATAGATCAGTGGTTCATACCTTCATTTTGTACTCCTTCTCCTTGGTGACTTTGGTGAGCAGCTTAGCTTTCTGTCTCGTCAGCGCCTCGATCAGGGAGTCACACTGAGCCACAAGGCAAGCTTCAAACTCCACACCGTTTTCCTGGAGAAGGAAACATACAAAACGTCAATGAAAAATATGCTATTGATGTTATTTGTGTGTGAACGTTGCTCCTATTTGATGTTTTGGAATTAGCAGAGCAGAAAAAGGATTTGTTGGTGTAAATTAGTTCATTCACCAAGTTGGGAATGGCGTAAATTCATGGTCTCTGTCTCACAAATGTGAAAACCCAGCAATAATTCAGCAGGCACAACCACACCACTGACACGATGTTAGTTACCTCTGGAACAGAAGCCATGCTCTCAGCACCACCCTCCTCAAAATGCAGCACATGAAGACGAGAAATCTTCTGTCAGTTGCAGTTGTGTATTTGAGCTTTGATATTTAAACTGTTCCTGACAGTGAGCGGCTTTCTCTGTGGGTCGGAGCATTAAGCTAGCATAGTAAATCAGCCATATGCTTCAATTTAATTTATCCAACTTTCATGTGATACATCATAGCAAAGCGGCATAAACTTGTGAAAGAAATTAGAGTCTGAAAAAACTACTCAGCCCCTTTTAGTCTGATGCTCTGTAATAAAATCCACGCTTAGATTTAGGTGGTCCGTTCAGCGGTACAACTGATCAGAAAGGCTTTTTTTTTTTCTTCCATTACAACCTATTTGATTATGAGATGAGCTCTGAGAGTTTACTTACGTCCAATTGAGCAACGCCCCTCAGGACTGAAGTCCTGATCTGTAAGAGGATCATTCCTTTTATTTCATCCTCATCCAACCATCTCTTTGGCTTTTAGGCCATGCACGCTAAAGTTGTTTTTTTATAACTTAAATTGAAACCCTCCCTGTTTTATTTTAAGACTCTTAATTCCTGCACATGCTGGTGGAGGACATATCGGCATACACGTGTGCATGAGCGGCAGATACTGCAAGGAGAGATCAGCTGCATAGTAATATAGTCTGTGGGGAAAACAAACTCACACAGCACACTCCACAGATCCAGAATATATTTTTTCATAGTCTGTGTCATTGATTTGGTGGATTTATTTCCCTTCTGTTGACTTAAAAGACCAAATGTTACTCTTAAATGGATTTATTTGAAACATATAGTCTTTTACCAGCAGGTTTTCATGTATATATCGAATGAAATAAAAATCCCCATACAATATTCCTACAGAACTGTTTTCCTTTTCATAAAGGTTAACCTAAACTATCTGCTCGTCACCAAAACGGTTTTAACCCTATAATGCCAAATGTATCGTATTTGATACATACGGTTTCTGAAATGTTTTGCGTCTGACACCTTTTGCATAATTTAATGGTAAAAACTTTGCTCAAAATCCTATTGTACACAATCAGATATACCTGATAACAGAGGGTAGAAGACTACACAAAAAATAATCTTGACTTATCGCATAGTAATAAATTATTATCAAAAATTTATTTCTGTTTTTTCTTTTTACATATTTTGTTAAAAGGCCAAATAAGGAATTCAAACCCAAAAAAAAGTAATTGTCTGTTTTGTTTTATTGTTGGATCGGGCTTTAAAGGGTTAATATAAACAAGATTTTTGTTTTCACTTCAATCAGAAAATCTGTATTTTAAGTTTATTCTTGCAGCACAGTAAAACTACACTGCTTCTGTTTATCCTTGTGAAAAGAGTTTGACAAAAACCAAAGGTGTTCTTGAGCTTTTGAACATCATCCGCAGGGATTTCTGACTCAGAGACGCAGAGGCAGACAGTTACTTTTCTGTGTTCATTTTCATGGTAAATAAATGAACATTTTAAACATTTTCCTTTTTTTTAAACCAACTGGTATGATTCATTCATCTAAAGACAATATAAACTGGTATTTTTCCCAGAAATTGCCATCTTTTAGAAGCAAAGCAGGGTGCAAGATTAACTTTATATTTTGTCTTCTAATGAGAAAAATGCTGAACTATCCACCAGAAATCTATTTGATGGCTTGTAAAGGTAACTGATGTTTGTGAATAAATAATGATTTTTTTTCTTATCTAAAAACATAATGAGACACAACTTTTACTGCTTTTTAGAAACACTGTCGCTCTCATGTGTGCAGAGGGTAACCACTTATAACAAAATATCTCCCTATCTGTTCTTTGTGTTATTCTGCATCTATTTCAATTATGAATTAACCCTAATTAATCCCTTATTGTTCTTTCTCTTACCTGAATGATCATTTATCTTTTGCATGTGGAAGTTAATTTTTGTGAATGCTTCAGAGATTTAAAAAAAAGGGAAAAAAAGCTTTGTTTCATTATATGGCACGACGTCGAGGTGCTAACGTCTCTGTTAAACACTTTAAAAAACTCTGAAAATGGAATACGAAAGGTGGATTCTTGATTCTCGACGTCGGAGTACACAGAGTGAAGCGAAAAGACTACAACTGTGTAAACAGGCCCCATTTCCGTTTCCGGTGGCAGGGGAATATTGACTATTCCAACAGAACTCAATGGGATTTACAAAATGCTAAATAAAACACTACAGGAACGTTTTTTCTTTACGAAACTTTTTTTGGAACAACATTGAACAGCGCTGACGACCCGGTGAGTAGCATATTTAAAAAAAAGAACGTTTAAGGTTGTTTTAAGGACATTATCGGACATGCTCTATGGAAGCCATTCTAAAGCAGCCAGGGGTGGATTCTAAATGAGCCAAAAAGCAGAGACAGGACCAATTGTCAAAATTTTGGTGTCGATCATTCGATTTCATCCTGGACACTACAGAAAATGGGCTAAAAGTGTTAAAAACCGAACTTCTCCTTTAAAGGTACAGAGGGTGATTTTTTATTTCCAGGTGGATCATCACAATAAGTGGTCCTCCTACTCGTCAATCATTCTGGTGATATGTTTATGTAAGGCCGTCCTACATGCTCGTCTCGTTAGCTATTTTTTTCTGCGCATTCGCACTTTTAGGCGTATATCTGTGGTGAGCTAAGGTTTCAGACAGTCATTGAACTCACCTTTCTCACCGTGGTTCTTTGAACATGGCTGAACATGGGTCATGAGAGAAAAGTGTCTATGAAGAGTAAGAGAAGAAGAGAAAGGCCTCAGAGGAAGATATATCCCAGAATGCTTTGTGCTGAGAGCTCTCCTCACAAAGCACTATGGGATCTGCTGTCACAGTGGTCCACTGTCGCCATAGGCTGTCGCTACCCGACAGCGGCGACTAACAAAGATGAGGCAGGCACCACACAGTGGAGGAGTGGTTACATAACCAACGGGGAGCTAAAGCAGTGATCATCTGTCCAAACGGTCAGTTAACTGAGTTCACTATAAAGTCCAAGTGATTGAGGGATTAAGGGGTTAGGGCGGACATTTGGGCAAAGTAAGCTTGTATGAGCTATGAAAACAGCAACTTTTAAACAGAGCGTGTACCAGGAGAAATGGGCTTGTGCACGCACTGCATGCATTTCATAGGGGTTCCCTCTCGGGAGCGGGTACAGGGTTGTGCATATGCATTTTTTTTATTTTTTATGTAGAGGGCTGGTCTTTTTAAAATTCGTAAAAATCCTCCACAATACCTTTAAGTAAAAGTAGCATGCACAGGGTGTTAATGCAGTCACCAAAACAGCGAGACACAATATTTTTCTATATGAAAAATGTTTTAATACTAATACTTCTGTGGGCATCTAACCCTTGTTGTTTCAGTCTCCATCAACTACATCAAACTTGCCTTAAATATGTAATTCCTTAAACCTGTTTTAAATAAACACAGTTGAGATTAAATGTGGATGACAAGCTTTTTATTGTGAGAAATTTTATTTAGGCTGGGTTGACCTTGATGCTGTTTTTAAATAGTTTTTTTGAGAGATACGTCAAGTATATCCTCGTTCCTCAAAGAGTTTGTAGCTTTGGTAAGCTTTCTAAAAAAAATTCTCGTAAATGCTCTGAAAATGATATTAAGCTGTTAATGAGACGATACTTTGTAAATAATGATGTGATGTTAGGTTATCAGCCAAGTATCCTTTCTTTTACAGCTGTGTCCAATACTGAGGATGGGACACATGTCCTCATACTCTGTACGGGAATGGGTTAGCATACCTGTATTTGCTGGAGCATGTTCTTGAGCTGAACCAGAAACTCCTTTGCCTCTTTAGCTTTATCAGAGACGCCGTTTAGAGCCTGAGAGAGCTGGCACTGCAAAAAAAAAAAACACAGAGGGAGATAAAATAGGTTTTGACATACAGCTGCTTCTGTTTGGTCAACTTCACCACAATGAAAAGAGATTTTTACAATTTTCAAACAACCCTAGAAGTTGGTTATTTTATCTTAGTATGTGGACGGATTAAGGTCCAATCTCTCTGAGGAAAAGCTTCCAACCAGTAGAACCAGTGATGCTTTTTTCCTACTGTAAGATATTTGTTATGTAATGAAATCATTCTCGAAAGAGGCGCCACTGATCCTTGCCTAAAGCGAATTCCCTGGAAATTTCTTCTGCATTAAGAAAAAACTAAAAACTAAACAATGACTCAAGTAAATGGATTATATTTAAAATCTCCATCAGATCATCAGCTGCAGACATTAAAGCCATGACATAATTTGTAATGTTTGGAAACATACATATAAAACAAATAATACCATCATTTAGAAATCATGATAACAAAGAAATCTAATCCTGCCTATAGTATATACTACAGTTTGGATTATAACTTTCGAATACTTGGATTAAATGGGATTTAGAAAAAAAACCCATAAACCTTCTTAAATTGGCACAGAAATGAAGAAATCCTAGCTGTTCTTTAACATCACGCAACAAAGTATCCCTCCAAGGAAAGCTTTTATTGTCAAGATGAGTGGAGGTTGTAGAGGACTTAAATGCGAAGACCGAGGCAGAGATGGTTTCTTGTAGATTTAATGATGAGGCTGGTGGCAACAGAATTATAAATCTAGAAAAACCAAACCAAGAAACACAGGAACCAGAACAGAGGGTAACACAAAACTTCAGCAGGGAATGAAGAGAATCAAGCACTAAAAAACTGCAGAGGAGGAGTAAAGTATATATGGCAGACAGAACAATGAAGAGAGTAATCAACTAATTGGGAGCAGGTGAGGACAGACGTTCCTCGAAGGGAGCTGAGTGGAAAGAGAATAACAAGGGAATACAACAGAGCTTAAATATAACTAAAAAAAATAACTTATGTGACACTTAAGGGAAATGAGACTAATGACTAGAAAACACTGAATGACATAATTAAAATTTTAAAAACTTCTACACAACCAAAACTTCAGGTCAACAGATCATAAGAGTTATGATCGATGATAGATAGATAGATAGATAGATAGATAGATAGATAGATAGATAGATAGATAGATAGATAGATAGATAGATAGATAGATAGATAGATAGATAGATAGATAGATAGATAGATAGATAGATAGATAGATAGATGATAGATAGATAGATAGATAGATAGATAGATAGATAGATAGATAGATAGATAGATAGATAGATAGATAGATAGATAGATAGATAGATAGATAGATAGATAGATAGATAGATAGATAGATAGATAGATAGATAGATAGATAGATAGATAGTTTCAACAAAGCTATGATTCTTTATTTAATACGTAATATCAGAAAGGGGAGGAGAATATGTTTATACTATAGCTCATGCAAGAGGAGTATGTGCAGGACACTCCTCCGTCATGAGCATTTGGTTCATACAGTATATAAATCTTTAGGTAATATTGAATACAGTTGTTTTCCCATATTATCATATGGATGCATCCCTAGAAATAACAGTGTTATATTTCTCCTTATTTGAATGTTGTGGTTTTATTAGTCCATTAAGGTTTATGTTCCTGCGGGAAGATTAGCAGATGCACAGAAAATGTCAATGAACAGCAGCTAATGGAGTCCATCATATCTTATTGCTTCAGCTGGATGAAATATTGATGGCGCTGCAACAGAAAACAGAGTAATTAACACAGATGACGCTGCAGCCTTCACGCTTTAGAAACGACTTAAAGGTCCATTAAACATAGATGAGTCATGTTTATTAAACATGTAGAAAATTCAACATCACACTAATGCTTTTCCAAACACATTTTGGCTTGTTTTTGTTTGTTTGTTTTTTTCATTTCTTGCAAAACTGAAGCCTTTTCATCACCAATTTTGTCATGTTACAGCCATAATCTTAATGGGTTTTACTAGGAGTTTATATAACAGATGATCATATATATATATTTGTACAATTAAATTCATAAAAAAAATATTTAAAAACTGACTGAGCTTCAGAGCACTGAATGAAGAAGCAACCAAGAGGCAAATGGAAACTCTGGTGAAACATAAAAAAATCCATAGCCCTAGAGGAAAAATCTGTCGCCAAGATCGGCACTCTGTAAGTCAATCAAAAAATGACCAAAAAAAGATAAAGGCATGTAGAAGAAGATGCAAACATCTCCTGTGCAAACAAGACAAAAACTCAACCAACCTTTAGGCAAAATCGGCAGAACACTAAAGCTGGCTGTCACAAAGTGGGACAGCTGGACCCAGTATTCAAGGCAAGTCAGACAATCAGAAGTTTTACAGAACTGAATCGCGGGCTGCTAAGGATAAGCGGACCGCAGCGGCTCCAGGGGGGTGGGAAGCAACCCATCACTGGCACTCTGGTTTAACATTTCGGTCCATCCTCTCTGAGGAAGGCAAGATCCAGTCAATGGACTGCCAAACAAGATGCGGCCAGGAGCCGTCCAAAGTGTACCTGATGCAGCAACCCCAGTGAGCAGGCAGGAGACCGATCCACGTCAGAGAAACAGTTCAGAACTGGACAGCTCCAAGATCCAGGAGTCCGTAGCCTGATCAGGGGTTCTGATCCAAACAGGAACAGACAGATCTAGGGTTCCAGGAATCCACAGAGCATTCAGGCAGGTTCAGAGTTATACGAGTCCAGCAGCGTGCTCAGACAGACACGCGCAGATGAAGGCAGGCAGGCTCGGTGGTAGAGAGGAACATAGACAAGACTTGTTACCAGGATAAATGCCGAACTTTAAACTGGTCTCCACCTTAGAGCTAGGCTTACAGGAACTAAAAATGACCTTCCCCGCGCTCCGAGCCAAAACTCTGAGGGTTCCACGGAGAGGGACCGGAACCCATCCTCCTCCCGCACGCCAAGCCCAAACCCTGAGGAATCAGCAGAGAAGAGCCAGGACACAACCAGGAGACAGGAGACAAACCCTCTGATTCAGCTGGCCTCCAAGAATCATGACATGAACTATGAACATGAATCATGAATCAAACATAACTGACTGGAAAGCATAACAAGAATAAACAAAGAATAGACAAATAAAGTAAGAAATAAACAAATAATGATCTGGCCCCTATTGTCGAGCTGAACCATATATATATATATATATATATATATATATATAATATATATATATATATATATATATATATATATATATATATATATATATATATATATATATATATATATATATATATATATATATTAGTGCTGTCAAAATTATTGCGTTATTATCGCGTTAACGCGAGGCCATTTTAACGGCGATAATTTTTTTAACATGAGATTAACGCTATGTGGTTGTATGGTACAATTTTCCAAGTACATCCCGCTGCAGCCTGCGGGAAGGCGGGGCTATCTTTCCCCAGTCTATGCATTTTCCATAGGCTTCGAGAGCGGAGCTCCTGAACGAAAAAAGACGCTCATACACTGGGTGACGCTAGTGCCTTTTCTTTAAGCCCCACCACCAACAAACAACTTGAGTGTCTGGTAACTAGTAGCAACCTGAAATACGCTGAGAAAATAGATTACTGAGGTGAAATGGAATCTGCTACGGCACTCTTGCTGTCTGTGTACGCCACAGGTCAGTATCGTGTGTGTGTGTGTGTGTGTGTGTGTGTGTGTGTGTGTCTGGGTGGGTGTGTGTTCTTTCTAGAGCATAGACTACCTCCATCTAGTGATGTCGGTCTATTGATTTTGATGTATTGATTGAAAATTGTTCATTATTATCTTGGTTAATTGACATCTAATGTTAACTCTACTGCATTTTATAGCAGTAGGGTAAAATGCTTGTCTTTGTTCAAAAGACTGTATTAACTGTAAAGACTGTCTTTACATCAGCCTGTTTTCAGGGCCTTTTTTTGGCTACATATTTGTTATTTTTTGCTACATGCCTCCCCATCTTCTTGCCATATGTTTCTATGGCATAAATCAGTATCTGTGACCTGTTTTCATTAAAAAAAAAGAACATTGGCAGAAACCTAGCCTGTATGTGTTTTTTTGTATGTCATCGAGAGTACTTAAAGGATTTTCAATCTGGAAAAAAATGTGCGATTAAAATGCGATTAATCGCGAGTTAACTTAGGCATTGATGCGATTAATCGCGATTAAAAAATTTTAATCGATTGACAGCACTAATATATATATATATATATATATATATATATATATATATATATAGCAGAGGAAGTAGGTGAATAAGACAAATGATAATTAAAGAGCAAGGAGGGAACGGCAGGTGAATAAGGTGAGTAATCAGAGAAGCTACCGTGGCTGGAATCATGACAATGTCATCATGCTGTAGAGATGATAAAATGATGGAGTCAAGTTTAAATCAATTATGAGAGAACATATTTCGGTGACAATAGAATGACGCTGCAAAAAAATGAAATCTAAGTAAGTCGTCTTTTATTAAAAGAAGTGTATTCTTTAAATGAGCACGTGTATAGATATAGATATAAATGTATCCTTTATGTATCTAGAGTTATTATTCCGACTACACGTTGCTCTCAAGGGAAAAATATTCTAAAAACACGTAAGCAATAATAATAATTCTAATATAATTATATTAATAATAACATAATAAAATTCTGATAAATTCTTATATCCCTTACTGGTCAAAATTATGATAAATTTTCCATTTTTAACTATAAGTTGGTCAACAGCAGCAAAAATAAGGTTGTCTGAAGTCTAAGTGAGAATTCAAACAGCACCTGAACACCACATCCAAAGCTGCTGACCGCACATAAACCCTACAGATATATTGATTCTACTTGAAGGTCAGATGGGTAATTATTTGTCACTTCTTATGAAAAATAAAATGCAAATTTGGCTTTATGTTGGAATTGTTTCAAAAAGCATTCAGTATAATATGTATATATTCAAAAAA